TGTAAGTGTTTATTAGTTAATTAGAAAACAGCGCCTTACAGCGCTTCAAACATGACCACAGTTTTATAGAAATGGGTTTGTTGATTGCTCCTGAGTCACGATTCGTCTGAGAGTGGAAATGTAAAGAACTCCCAGAAACTGAATCCAAGTGACAAGACAACATTTACAATTCTTTTGTTTTTTTTTTAATGAACATGAAAAAGTTATTTGTTGGTGAACTGAACTCGTACCAGTTTACTCTGCTCATACTGAGACTAGCTTGCTGTCCAGGACTTCACAAAAACATTGGATCACAAAGTCATCACTTTCAAAGTGAGTCATTTTGTGGGTGATTTGTGTAGTCTATACTTCCCTGCAGTGAGGTAATACAACATATTTAGTCTGAGTTAATGTGACATGATTGTTATGAGGTAAATATTTTGCTGTTTGAGGTGGCATTGTGTGCATTCCCTGACCCTCCTTTCCTAGTGAGTGTGCACACCAAATTCAGTGTTTAAACACATTTGCACAATTCCAGTTTTAATCAACATTGAACAGATAAGCCTCTAGACACATGTGCAATGTAAACACACTCCCTCACAGGGAGCAGGGAGAGACAAACAGACACAATTGAAAGGCTTTTTGCAGCAAGAGCCTCGGATCTATCGCCCGTTCACCCCTTCACCTCCTTGTATCACGAGATATTAAGTGCCCTTCTTGCTCTTGGCATTCGAGAAATGCATATATCTCCCTGAAAATTCCTATCTTTAAGTGTGCGCCACATTCTCCTCATGTAAACAGACAAGCGTTATACCATACATCTGCATGCAGACATACACAAATACTCAGAGAAGGTATATTCCCACGCACACACAGGAAATAACACATCAAAGCACATGCACAAATCAAAGAGTCTCATCGTAGACATCAGTGTGCAAAGAGAAAACGCAGGAACATAGACATGCACATTATAGGCAGGGAGGAATGCGTGTAGAAGCAACAGTTGGACATGCTGGTTGGGCCACATCTAAACATCAGAGGACACACACCATGCTGTGTATGCTGACGTGTAACCACACTCGCAAACTGTTCTCAGCAGAAACACACATGCTGGGATGACGTTACTGCATGCCACTAATGAAATTAAGCCTAGAAATGTAGCGCTCCGTTAGGCAGATAAAGTCTGAGTTTCCTTCCAAACAGAGAGGCTGTTCACATCAAGGCCATGCTGAAAATGCAGGGGTCGACTTTGCACAGAGGGGGTGAGCGATAAGATGGAGAGATTACAGGAAGACAGAGGATGCAAGGCTGGAGTGTATGAGAGGTTTGCATGTCCAGGCAGATGTTTGACTTCTGCTGATGGTGGACAAAAACCATTCAGTTTTGACCCAATAGCCGGCTGCTGGTGAAACCAACTTAAGTTGGCGATCAGTAATGAAAATTATATTTAAAGATTAAATTAATTAGAATTGGTAAAATTTAAAATGAATTCAAAGAGATTCTAGAGTGTTATTGGTGATGTTTATCAAATTTTAAGCTCTCGGTGCATGATGTGCACCATTTTCGCAGCTCTCCTCTCTGCCGTGATTTGACCATGAAACTTTGTCACATTGCTGATTTGACACAAACGTGCAGAATTTGCCATTCTGAAGCACCTTTTCACGATTTGTTTGATCCAGAGGGCTTTCACTTTCTCTGCTTTTCTTCTGTCATGGCTGTTAGAAGAAATGCAGGTAAATAAAACATGTGCACACTTCATGATGGGAGCGGCAATCAGCTGTGACTAACAGATTCAGCTTGCACTTCTGCGCCAAATGTCCGTACCAACCCTTCACAGGATGAATACAGGCACGGCTTCTCCCTCTAATGCAATGGGAAGGTTTAAGATCCTTTTGAATTGTTCATACATTGTATCTCAGTGGCATCTTTAGACAAATGCATTGTGGTTGAAGTATTTTTGACACCAACAGCAACATAAACCCTTTTCTGAAATCATCCTCCATGGTCATCACGCACCTAAATCCTCATTGGAGATATATTTAAGCTTAACCTTGCTAGACTGGGAATGTCAGTTCAGAGTTTCTACTTGATTCTCCATCCCTGCGGGATTTAGATTTTATTTATTTATTTATTTATTTATTTATTTTTTACATCTGTTCTTTGAATATCAGAATATTTTTCTTGCAATGGTATCATCCCCTGGCACTAATACAAAAAAAACCCAGTCCATATAACATAATGGTATTATAGCTATGTTTGACTATAGGGATGTATTAATGGCCCAATAATCAGGGCCTGGTTTCTTACACACACACACACACACACACACACACACACACACACACACACACACACACACACACACACACACACACACACACACACACACACACACACACACACACAGACACACACACACACACACACACACACACACAGACACACACAGACAGACAGACAGACAGACAGACAGACAGACAGACAGACAGACAGACAGACAGACAGAGAGTTGGGAATCGTTCCAAATAACGCTATCTTCGGTTCATCAGATGAGAGGATTTTCCATTGCATGGTCTTAGAGTCATTCAGGAGCCCTTGGCAAACTCCCAGGGGGCTGTCAAGGGCCTTTTAGGAGTCTGTCTGGCAGCTCTTACCATAAGACCTGATTGGTGTAGAGTTGCACTGATGGTTGTCCTGTAAAGTTCTCCCATCTTCAATGGAACACAGATCTTACTCATGAAAATTCATTTCATTTTACACTCATGGATGTTTTTGAGGCTTTTTTTTTTGGGAAGACAACTGTGTGCATTGTTCATCAATTCTCTTTCATGACAAGTTAGTCTCACAGGAGAGAAATCATCCCAGAGCTTCACAAACCTGTTGTGCCAAAAGTTGTGTCGTATCAAAAGGTGTGAATGCTCTTAGTTCAGTGATGCCCCCAAAGGGTGGCCATGGGAGGCCTGTGGACCCCCCTGGAAAATTGCAGGCCACCCCAGTGACTCTTGGTGATGTCACTGTTTGTGTGGTTGGTCACTTGGCTCTTACTATTTGTTTCATACAGACACTCAAATTCAAATCCTGTTTGGTTTAGGGTCATTGTTGGATATCAAATGCAGCATGTTGATGTAAAAAAAGAGCAAAATAGACTAAAACCTTAGTTATTTAATTTGGGAACACCATTATGAGCTCTTTATTTAGTATGCATGTAGTTTTTGGTACTAAAAGGTAGACCTGAGGGTTTTCTTAAAAGGTAGTTAACACAACTTATTTCACACTGACGTTGTGTTTAATTTTATGACATTTATAATATTGTTTGTAGATATTTACTGTGCAAAGACCTTGTTTGGACATCCTACAGGTGTGGCCTGGACCGTCAGACTCGATATAGACATGATCTGCACGTCCATGAGACGAAGACTCTGCAGGGAGTTGCTGAGCTAGGATGATCAAATTCCCGGGAATTTTTCAAACATTGGCAATAAATTTTATTTCACTGTTAAGCAACGTGTCCAAATAGCGTCTTGAGCTCCTTTTTCAAAAGAAGTTTTATTGTTGACATGGCTGTCAATTTGACGCTACAAAACATCTTCATAAGTGTGGCAGAAGGGTGTTTATGTGTCTTGGTTCATTGGTTTAAACTAGAAGATACAACAGACATTTGGTAAGTGGTTTTATTTTTTTAGCTAAACACCCTGCTGCCTCCTCTCTAGTTTTTACACCTCAGCATTCTAGGCAAAGACCAAAGGCAAGCAAACACACACACACACACACACACACACACACATACACAGCACTAACCGTAAATTACAGAGGAGCAGCAAATCATTTTCTCATTCATTCTTCTGTAACTCAAACATTTTGTTCATTCTGTCGGGGGAAAAAAAGCGGTCCTGATGCCACTGCCCTCTGGTATGATCATCAATTATGTATGTGTCTCTGCTGGAGTTTTTGCATGCGCAGAGAGCAGAGGCTGCCGAGGGGCATCAAGTTTCAATCAATTTATCAACAAAGTGTAAAACACCTGAAGGTTAAAGCCACACACTTGACCTGAAAAGGTCCTCCCACTATAAATCACTAAAAGCTCCAACTAGAATTCCTGCACTGAGCTCATAATTTATGGGTATAGCCGTGGAGAAGTTGGACATGCAGATTGAAAGTTGACGCAGGACCTCTGAACTGCCCGTTTTAGCTGTGGCTCTTTTTATATTTCATAATTTTGGAGCACTTCATATCCCTAAGGCCACAGAGTTAACCTCAAAAGTACGTGTGGCCTTAAAAATACAATAGTTATTCATAAATTAGTATTTCTAGTGGAGAACATTAATAGCATTCAGGTAAACTGTTGATTTTCCTAGAAGTTATCCTGCTGCAGGGGCGGATTAAGAACTGAAGAACATCCGGGGCTTAACACACGCACACACACGCACGTGACACGCACTAGTCAACATCATATATGGCTTGTACCACATAATTTTTAATCTGAAGCTACATATTAAGCATTTTCAGGGCAGAGTATTGTTCCTGTTAGTGTTTAGTGTGAGATGATAGCAAATATTCCCTTTCTTTCTCCAACAACTTTACCTGATAGTAAGCTAACTTTAGGCAAACCAGCAGCACAACAAATATTTTCAAATAAGACTCACAAACCAGAGTCAGCACCAGTCTCATCAAAGCTGGGGTTCTGTTGCGGTACTTTTTGTCTAAAAAAAAACGTCCTTATGTCCATCTTCACTCATGCGTTTCAGGCAGAGAGTGTAGAAGAAGCCGGCTGCTGAAGGGCTTCTTCTTCAGTGGTGGAGGCTCAGGCAGGCTGTATACAAACTACTGCCAGCTGCTCCCTCTCTGTTGGACTTTGGTACTGCATGTTACTTCCACGATTTAGATCCGGGGCTTTTCATGAAACATCCGGGGCTTCAGCCCAAGTAGCCGGGCCTAATGTCCTGCTGCAAATGAAAGTTACATGTGCATGTTGTTTTTGATCCCTTTTGAAGAGTTTTGTTGTGTTTTGTTGGTTTTCTTAGGTGGAGCTGACTGACAGCACTTCTCATACCATCACTGATGCCTATGCTGGAAAGGAATACATCATTCAGGTAACACGTTTACTCAAACTAACAAAGAAAAGTGAGTTAAATTAGTGTATATCAAAGTCAGTTGCTTACTTTCTCTCTAGAGATTTGTTTGATCTTTTATTTGTTCCTCGTTTCTCTAACTGTCTCCCACTCACTAACTAAGAACTGGTGTTGAGCAGGTGGCTGCTAAAGACACGGAGATTGGTACATGGAGTGACTGGAGCGTTGCCGTCCATGCTACACCTTGGATTGAGGAGCCTCTGCCAAACACTTCCACAACTGAAGTGGACTTTCTTACTGGTATGTTGTGACACATTCAGGGTTGTCGGAGAAAAGTTGCTCAGTGGATTAAAAATAGAGATAATTGTGGATTAATATCAGTATTTATGTCTGTGCCCAAGCTGGAGGTGTAGTGTAAAGGTGAAGCCAGGAAATCCCATGTACAAACGCCATGTTATACTTTGAAAGTCAGAGTCTGCACACGAGAGCCGTTGGGCTGAAAGTCCCACACACTCCCTAACAGACAGTATTTGTATAACGTTCAAGCTAATGCCCGGACCACGCTGTGTGTTTTTCTGCTGTCGAACAGGACTGCTCATGCCACACTGTGAGGACTCCTGAAAGGTGGTAAACTGTATGGTGCAAGATTTAAGTGAGCCAGACTGCACAACGTCTCGCTCCAGCAGCATTAGCTAACATCACGAGCATAATGATAATAAATGGTTTGTTTTTCTTTTATGATTTATGATAGCTTGATTCTGCAAATGCTAGAGAAAATAGCACAAATGTTAAACAAGCACAAGGCCAGATAAAAAAAGATATCTTTTAGAGGAACAAGCAATTGCAATTTGTTTGCTGAAAATTCAATGTTGATATAAATTGCAATTAGCTTACATTATCCTCTTTCCCTTCTTGTTTCATCATCATTACACTCCTAAGTGTGTTAGCATCCCTGTCACTTTTATGTTAACTGTAATTTAAAATGGGCAGAGTCCCTCTGATTTCCCAGATATAAAACTGGGATGAAGTTTTTGTCCATGTGTTATACCCCTTTTCAATAATTTAATCACTAGAAATTTTAAATAACAATCAGGACGCACTTTCTGCAGTCGTGCTAACTTCAGACTGCCAATACTGTCAAAATATCTGATTTTACACAATACATTTGTACCTAATGTGTCAGTATTTTTAAGTACTTTCTTGATTATTTTTATGTTGTCTACCCAAGGCTATTGTAACATTTTAATTAGTGAGAGTATGTTTACACAACACAATTTTATCTCCTAAAAATTACCGTTCATAAGCTCAAACTTACATCAAAATTTGAGCTCTGGGATCCGGCTGACTGCAGACAAACTGACACTCAGCAGCGTGAACGGCTGAACACCGCCTCGGGGGCGAAACCAGGCTATCTTTAAAAAAAAAGACTCATGTATTTCTCACAGCTCCAAACCAACTCTCTTTCAGCATTTTCACACAGAAAATTGGAATTTTTAATGTAATTAATTGCGGTTTATAAATCGTTGTGTGTGAGCTGACACATTTCCATAAAGATAGACACAGGGATCATAATAGTCTGATTGGCAGATGTGATGCTGACTCGCTTGTCAGATTCAAATCACTGGACGCACTGATGATGTCGGAACAACTAGACGTCTATTCCAGAGCTGAATGTTTTTTACACAGTTTTTAGATCATGCTGGAGAAGCAAAGAACAAATGACAGCTAGCGCCTCGAGTGAACAGTTGTGCTTTCTGCTGTTCCTGCGTTTACAGCTCGTTCCATGTGCCTTTGCACGGATTGAGCTCAAGCCTTAGACTCTCAGCTACTGGAAGACATCAGACCCAAGGAACAGCAATCCGTACGAGTATAATATATCTCAGACTTGTTGCACACATTTGGGAAACCTTCTTGATTAGAAAATGCAAGAAATGTGGAACAAATTTAGGCACAGTTGGGGAGAAAATATAAACATGAGAGTGTACTGCAAACAAATGTGAGACATAAGTCACGTTGTGAATAAACTGTTAACTCATTCGCTGCCAGCCGTTTCCTGATCGGTAAAGCCTTTCGCTGCCAGCGTTACTCACCGTTTTTACTGTTTCACTCCGGGTTTCCACGGGAGCCGTCAGCAGCACGTTACTGCAGCAGCACGTCTTGCTCGCGTAAGCTGCTGCTTGGCCCTTCCCACGAGACGCGAAGCAGCAGGAGAGCAGCTGTCACCGACCGAGCACGAAGTCACACGAGTGACTTCGTCAGTAAACACAACAACAAGCAGGAGAAAACTACCACATGGTTTGTGTTTTATGTTCTGTCCGTTTTATAATCGCCAATACGGACCTGAAAAACAAAGGAGACCGCTAGCTAGGTGATAACTTCTCACGGGGACGCACAGTTAGTAACATTTTTTAAAAGTAAAGCAACCGGAAGGCAGCACGTTCTTTATTCTGAAAATCTCGGTAGCTTCTCTCCATTTCCGCGTCCGATTTCCTGTCTTCCCTTCCCCAAAAATGTCGAACTTGACCCGTTTCAGAGGCGTCGCGCGTAGAAAATAGAACCGGCGCGTAAAGGCCGCGACATGCTTCTCCTGAGACGCGGCCGACTCGCGCTGCTGACGGTTGCCGACGGCTCCAGTGGAAAAGGTTCTGTTGACCACAGCGGTTCCTATCAGCAGCTATGACGTGCTGCTGCAGTAACGTGCTGCTGACGGCTCCTGTGGAAAGCCGGGGTTAAGAGTCACAGAACATTGTGCGCTAGGATGATGTCGACGGCAAAACAAAGAGTAGACTCGCCTCTTACATCAGGAAGAATCCGCGCGTTTCGAGCTTTATCCGTTCTTTCTTAATTTGTTGTTGAATTGTGATCAGCAGAAGCGTTTCCAGTTCACGCCTCACATTTTTTACAGCAGCAGCCCAAAACGATCTCCTAACACGTGGATTTTCTGCTTCCTGATCACGTGACGTGTGACGTATGTGGATGAAGATCAGCTTTAGAGCTGAGATGTTTGTTCTCATGGTGCGGGGGCTCGTTCCGACGCCCACACAGTAAAAGCATGCAAACGATGACTTTAGTCGTCGATGGCAGTGAACGAGTTAAGAAGGGGATTTTTATGACTGTCAAAGAGAAATATAAAAGTTCTTGGTAAAGAGTTGTGGGATTCCTTGCAAAAACCAGCAGCCTACAAATCTGACAAACGGCGGCATCTTGTTAAGTTTTTGTGTCTCCAACTAGTCCAACTGGTTTCAGGATATTTGAGAAATGTTTGCAATTTGTCTAAAACAGTGCATTTTAGCTTACTTGGTGATCACAAGTTGGTTGTAAATTGTACAGTTGAGTCAAAATGTTACATAAAAGTAAAAATCATCATCAGCTACAAATCAATTAAAACCTGTGCCCTAAAACTGAAATGGTAAAGCCGATTATTTATCATCATCTCTAATTTCCCTCTGGGATTAATAAAGTATCTTTGAATTTGAATCATCAGGATTGTTCTGTTCACTTTAGTTTTATGGTGACTAGAGTCTGAAGTTAGGACAACAGTATATACACAGAAGGATCACACCAGATCTTCAGTAACAGAAATAAAGTCTTTATTAATGGACCGACGGTGGGACAGGAGTTAAGTGCTCACCCAGTAATTGGAAGGTTGCAGGTTCGAGCCCTGCTCAGTCTGTCAGGCTGTTGTTGTGTCCTTGGGCAAGACACTGTACCCTCCTTGCCTGCTGCTGGTGGTCAGTGGGACCGTGGTGCCTGTATGTGGCAGCCTCACCTTCTCAGTGCGCCCAAGGGCAGCTGTGGCTACATCGTAGCTCATCACCACCAGGGTGTGAATGGGTGAATGACTTATTGTGTTGTAAAGCGCCTTGGAGGGTATATAAGGCACTCTATCATATACAGGCCATTTACCCAATCATAATTAGTTTCACAAAATTATGAAATTGATGGGTTCATAATTAGTTTAAAAAATATTCAAGTCTAATTTGTGCACTTTTGACTCAAATGTCATGTAATATTGATGTGAACTGCTTCTGCTGCAGAATCAACAATACAGCATTAATGATTTATGCATTTTCCAGAGGAAATCAACAATCCTGAACATGTCTGAGAGATAGATTTAACCCTCATCTGAGTTAACACTCTGGTAAATCCATTTTTCTTTTTGTTTTTCTGTTGCTGACCAGAGTTAAATTCACTGTACAAGGCTGACTTCTTTTGGTCGGGAGCAGGACTGCACACAGATCCTCACACATCTGCACTTAATGAGTTTGTGCATATGGAAATGCACAGAAACAGGGCGTAGATAGGCTCACGTCCCAAACCCTTAAGCACAAACAAACAGAGAGGAAAGCCACTCACACACTCCTATCCGATAGCAGGTTTCTCACACAGACCCTCACTCAGTACACAGTGTATTATTCTTGGTCTCAAGGAAAGAACAGCAGGTTATTTGAATTCTCCTCATGCATCTTCTCCATCCAGCTGCCACCTCTTTGCTTTCCTTCCAGCCCTCCTTGTCATGTTCTCTCTTTTCCTTCCTTTTGCTAGAAGCTCTCATTTTCTCCTCCACCTTTGTCCATTTTTCTTCTCATACTTTTCTTTTTTTAACTTCTCCATTGATCACTGATCTTGCTTTCACCACACACTTTGTACAACCCCCCCCCCCCCTCTCTCTCTTCTTGCCCATTTTCAAGATGTCATGTGCTGGGATTGCTGTGTGGATGCTGCAAAACTCCTGTTGGCATCCAAAAAAATGACTTTGTGTTGTTGAAACTGATGGATGGAGCGAGAGGTTTTGTTTTTACTCCGGCCTTCAAAGTCGTGTCAGTTAAAAGGGGAGACACAGTGAAGAACTGGTGGAATCAACTGGAAAAAAGTGATAGAAAGCTCCCTCCTGGTTGGGTGGGAGCCTTTGCCTCAGGCAGAAGCGTGGTGTCTCGTTCCCAAATGATGAAAGGACGGATGAAGAAATGGACCAACGAATCAGGCTTCATGAGAGCACTGCTCCAGCCTGTTGTGGTTTACTCAAAAAGGGAGCCAAAATGCCAAATTCTTGATTTGCATCTTCATTTTAACCATGACCTCATGAGAACTGGATCATCTGAGACCTTAGATTGAAACGGGTGACATGAGCTTCTTTTGAAGAGAGGCTGAGTTGAGCCTTAAAAGTGATATATTTAGAAAAAGTAACTTTTTGGCATCATTTTTGCTACTGTGTGGGTTTCTACTGTCTCTAAACACACAAAACTTGAAAAGAATCAATCCATCTATTTTCTTTCAGTGTTAGGGTTTAGGAATTGCATTCCTAAAACAAGTAGTTCCACAAAGTTACGGTTTGTGATGTCACAAAAGGGGAAAAGTGGCACAGAACCAATTTTTTGCCTTAGCAGCAGCTTTACTCCAAGCCCCTCCTGGATATTGGAGCTTCCCAGTTTAAAATAGTGGGTGTGGCCAGCTCCAGCTTATTTCCCTAAAGTGATAGAGCCCTAAAACGACTCATTCTGGAAGGTACTGAAACTGTCTAGAAAAAAAAATGCTGAAATTTCTTTATCTGAGCAATTTTAGCAAATAACTTGATGAGCTTGCTCAATATCGCTAATCGAACCATTATAACTTAGGAAAAAAGTCATAATATGTCCTTTTTAAAGATAAGGTGGAAGCTTGGGGTGAAGTTGCCGCCGATGCCTTGGTCTCCAACATCTGGATGTTTTCCAGGCTGGCCCCACTGGGTGGAGACCCCGGGGCAGACCCAGAACTTGCTGGAGGGGTTATATTTCCTGTCTAGTCTGAGAATATCTCTGGATCCAGGAGGAGCTGAGACATTGAAAATGGATGGCTGTATAACTAAAACATGTCAAACAACCTCATTTGTGAAATCATAAAAACAAAACCTTATAAATGATCTATTTGTGTGAAAGTTGGAATGAAGACTAATTAATCTTCTTTCCTATTTGAGTAAATTTGCAGGACTCTGATTTGTGCGTCTAAAACTTGCCCTACAAACTTGGACCATCCAGTTTGCTCTTTATGGAGGAGTCACAATAAATCAGAAGGAGTAAAAATATCTGGTTTGCTGCCCACGTTTGGGCAGAAAAAGCACAAACAGCTCAGTCAGGTTTCCCTTTCTTTCTGCTGTCCAGCTTATTACCATCTCCACACTGACCAACATTTTCTCTCTTGGCTGCTCAGTCAAACAATAAATGAACACACTTCCTTTGACTTATTGATTGTATGGCTCTGAGTGTAAGCACACACACCCTCCTCCTTCCTCTTATGTTCCTGCATGAACCACATTTCCTCTGTGTCCTATTTTTTTGTTTGTTTGCCTCACAGTTTCTTCCATCACAATACAGCAGGTCACCCAAATTGAGAATGAGGAGAAGTTGCTGGTTGCGCTGTGGCATGCCTGCTCCAATTGCTGGCACAAACAGACAGGCTTCCCACGAAGAGGATAGCACAGTGACAGGCGCGACATTTAGAAATCCCATCCTCGGAGATTGGTGCTTATCCACCACATTCCTGGAAGTAAACAGACGATCAGCTGAGCCTTTAAAAGGTTGCAGTCAACCTTAATGTCGGAGCATCTCTAAGATCTAAATTTCTGTCTTGCTCACGACGCGAGACAGAAACCGAACACCGTCTAGCGCCAAAGAGGCAGCATAAGATATCACTTCTTATGCATTTCATGTTGCTACTATTTCTGTTTCTGTTTCACGGGAGGCAGTAAATTATGTGTGTGGCGGCCTCAGAAGAAGGAGCACCAATGGCATTGGCAGTGTTGAGGTCACCCAAGGTCCCCTATTTCAGTGCTTTGCCTAAAAAATGAGTAAATGGAGTGGAGAGGATAGGTGTGAATATACTGATAATATTGTTCTGCAAAATCAAACGTACAAACATGTATCAGAAAACAAAACTAAAACTGAAATCACAAATGATTTTGCATGAAAAATAAAATCAATTTGGCGTGCCACCCCAAACTCGTCACTAGCCTTACCCTGTGAAAAATTCTGGGGCCATCTGTCAGCAGGAGGGCCTAAACCATCCTTTTTGGAGCAACGTCCATCACCTAAAGAGGATTTAGAGATACAAATGAGTTCTGAAACCCAGTAATAATTCACATGTACATGGGGTGAATTTACAGTATAAACCTCCAGCCCCAGATAGAGCTATACTGTTCCTGTCAAAACACCACCATGCGAGCCATCTTCATCCAGCTTCAAATATCTATGAAAAAATGCTTAAATTCAACCTGATCGTGTCTGCCTTTAAATATCTGTATTAATCTCATCAGCTTTTTCTTCTCTCCATCATCGCTGCTTAATCAATCCTCCTGTTTACCGGTCCTCACGTTCCTTCTGCACAGCCCCATATCTGCTTCTCACCACATTGTTTCTGATTTGTTTTGATTTGTTTCTTCCTCCACTTCCTGAGCGTAATATTTTTGCTGCAGGCAGAAAGCACGGCTCTGAGCTGCTGAACATGTTAAATGCACCCCAGTTCCCTCTTTCTCTGCTTATTTCACACCTGGCTGCTGCTGTCTAATACCTCCTGACTCCCAACAATGCAACAGTCATTAATTACAAGGAAAGAGAAAGCATACACTCAGGCCACTAAAAAACAATAAAGAAAATAGATCATTAAATAAAGAAAGAAAAGCCGTAAGTTCTGAGCCGAGCAGCAAACATCCCGCATGAGTTCGTGTTTTTCTGCACTGCCTGCAGCTGCAGCTAATGGCCCAGTTTTCATACGAACTTAAACTGAGATATTTCAATTTACCAAGTGAATCCATGGTGTAGAATGTATAAATGCATGCATGTGTGGCGATTTAGTCCACCAGCTGTTTCACCCCTGCATTTCAGAGTTGGATGTAATTGTGTGAACTGTTGAACATCAGGATGTTTTGCTACACCTGAATCAAAACTCTCGTCCATCTAAACTCTGGACGTGAGACTCCACGTTTCACACATCTCAGCTCAACTGCTAGGGCTCATTGTTGTCACTATTTTATTTTCCTTTTTTTCTGTTACCTTTAACTTATGACCCTTGTTTTTCTTGAGTTGCTCTTTCCTTCGTGGCTTTTCCCAGTTTGTCTTTTTACTTTTTCACTTCATAACCGTCTTGACAAGTCTCACATCGATTGTGTTTGCAGATTAGAATTGATTCTGCTCTTTACTCTGCCTTCCTTTCTTTTTGCTTCTTCCCGTTATGATGAGCACTTCTCAGTGGTCCATTTATCATCACGTCCTTTCACCCCATAGGAGGAGCTATGTCGTACATCGTGTGACCAACAAAAACAAGAGAAAAATTAATAACTAAAAAAAGTGTAGGACACATGAGATACCCAGCTGGTCAAAGGGACACAAATGTTTCTGCTCATTAGGTTTCTTGTGTTGTTTCTTGCAGAGACGAAGACCTCTCCCATCCCGTCCTCCAAAGCACCGCAGAAGGCTGAATCCCCCGTGGGCAGAGCCGCCGGGGTCATCACGTTTTACTCTCCTTTGCTGTTAGGAGTCACGCTGCTGCTTATGTGGTGAGCAACAACACACACACACTCTGAAAATCTTTGACTTGATTTTGAATTCAGTCACTTGCCTGTGTAGTAAATTAACCGATCAGAGCGTGCCTGTTCATGTCATGAGCGTGTTTCATGGACCAGAAGCAACAACAACTGGGGGGTTGCTTTATGGCTACAGGAGGTTTTAGCAGAGCTCCTGCAGGATGGAAGTCAATCCTACCGTCTCCCGTTTCATTCCCCAGCTATAAATCATGCTGCAGCGCTGCATGTCATAATCATGATTTAGAGTGTTAGACACACACACACACACACACACACACACACACACACACACACACACACACACACACACACACACACACACACACACACACACACACCAAAGTCACAAAGTACAGTTAATTTTAATGTTTTTGCTTTAAATTTTCACTTTCTTTAGCTTTATTTGGTTTCCAACAAACCAACGTTTGTTGACAAACATTTTTACCTTAGCATTATGGTAAGGTTGCACTGGGAAGGGTGTAATTAAACAGAATGAGGAAACAAGAGTTTGGTCTTTAAACTAAACTGCAGCATCTTATCAAGTTCTAAACATGGAAGAGCTGACACAAATTCTGAGATTTGTCATTTAACCCTCTCAGGCTCTAAATAAGTTTTAATAAAAAGATGAACAACTAAGTCCTTCAGCGGTACTTCTGAGTTAAAAAAAATGCTCATGAAACACGTATGTGGAGTAACCAGGTCTGTAGGTTTCAATGTTGCAAATCTGCAACGCCTGCCTCCAGAGGGTTAAAGGTTTCTTCTACTTTTTGACTTTTTTTTAAATCAAACTTTAATTTTTAAGATTAACAGTTTCCAATATCAGATGAACATAATAATGATTTTGTTTATTTTGGAAAAATAAATCTTTTCAAAATGGGCCTGACCATGTCTGAAAAAGTCATCTGACCCTAAACTTAAAAACGGACTTTTACACCCGTGGCTGATAAATCACAAATCCAGCTTTTGTGATAGCAGGTGATGAGTTTCCCACGTTGTTGTGGAGGAGTTTTGTTCAGCTCCTTTTTGTACAATTGTTGCTATTTGCCCCTCAGCTTTCCTACCTATAGCAAGCCAGCCTACTATAAGAAAATATAAAGTCTGGCCATCGCCCATTGAAATAACTTGTGGGGCAGAATCTCCAGCTGTCTTTTAAACACTCTCCCTGTGTAACTGGACAGTGTTAAGGCTAGTTTATAATTCTCCGTCTCCTTCTGTTTTGAGACACCTAACGTCTTTATCTGTGGTTGCTAGCTTGGACGAAGAGAGCCCACCTTTCTAACTATCCACTGAAAGCGACGGAGACCTCAGCCTGTTATTGGTCAGAATGCTACCTCCCTTAATTTTGTCAACAGCACCACCACTCCCTCTAAGAAAAAAAACAAAACAAAGATGTCTAGCAACAGACACAGAGCCAACTAAACGTTAATACACCCGTAACTGAAGGAGTACAACGATATGCAGCAAACGTTTTATTTATGTCAGGAAGTTACAGGAAACGTGGGTTTAGAGGTAGTAACTGCATGGAGAGGTGTTATAAAGTCTTAATAAACATGCTGGAGGAGTGATTCCATTGATGACAGGACACCCCAGAAAAGCGCTAGGCCCTCTGCTGTCCTGCTGGAGACTCGCTACAGAACGCAGACGGAAAAAGTAAAAAATGGAACATCTCTCCGTCAGTTCATGTGTGTGAGTGCACCGACCCAGATAAAGAAGTATAAACAAGGCTTTAGGACAAATCAAAGCAACAAACATACTCATTGCTACAGATATCTGTCAATAGGACAGTCCACAATACACCATCAAAGAAGAAGACGATGAATGCCATCTTTGTAGTTTTTCAGCTCTGGTGTTAAGTCCAACCATTAAACATAGAGAGCTGTGATTGAAAAGGGACCAGTGGAAGACCTGCCGAGGCTACAATGGAGCACGGCTAGACCGACCTGCAGAGCAAGATCTTCTTAATACTGATACGCTTGGTCTAGATTTCTAGGCTAGGGTTTTCCAGCACAAATGGGCTGTTTAAGGTCAGCAGTCAAATATTCCCTCAGACCATCACACTACCACCACCGTGTCTAACTGTTAAAAGACTTAACAAACACCTTCTTCGAAGTCCCACTTTTGTCTCACAGAATGTTTTCTAAAACGTCTTGAGAATCGTTAAGGCTTGTAAATGTAAGATAGCCCTTTATGCTTTTGTTCAGCAGAGGTTTGGCTTTGGAACTATCCTACAGATGCGATCCTTGCTCTGTCTTTATTTTTGTTGAACCATGAAGTCTGACCTTACCCATGTGATGCCTGCTTTGCTTTAAATGTTTTTCTGGGTTATTTTGTCCCTGAACTTCTTCAGAACAGAGCATGGTATGATGCTTTTTGAGCTCTTTCAGCCTACATGTTTTCAGACTAGTTTTGTTGAAGGGGTTTCCTAATTCTACGGGTTTGGAAGCGATCACTACCTCCATCACAGATTTGTTCTCTTTCATTTTATTGTCTACATAGATATACGCATGTTTATTCCAGTAGGAGACACTTCGATCTGAAGCGCTTACAGATGTAAACCCAACACACAATTGTGTCTGTGGGATAAAAGCTGGAGTTCCCAGAGGAAACCCACGCATGCATGAGCACAGCATGCTCACTGCATGCAAAAACAATGCAATCATTTAAACCTACAACTTTCATAGTGAGAGACAACAGTGCTGCATCTGCGCCACCATGCTGTCAATCGCTCTTTGAGAATAGCCTTGCTGCTAAAAGTTTCATTTTTCTGTCATACTTTATCTTACTTACATACTTTATCTTACTTACATACTTTATCTTACTTACATACTTTATCTTACTTACATACTTTATCTTACTTACATACTTTATCTTACTTACATACTTTATCTTACTTACATACTTTATCTTACTTACATACTTTATCTTACTTACATACTTTATCTTACTTACATACTTTATCTTACTTACATACTTTATCTTACTTACATACTTTATCTTACTTACATACTTTATCTTACTTACATACTTTATCTTGCTTACATACTTTATCTTACTTACATACTTTATCTTACTTACATACTTTATCTTACTTACATACTTTATCTTACTTACATACTTTATCTTACTTACATACTTTATCTTGCTTACATACTTTATCTTACTTACATACTTTATCTTTCTTACATACTTTATCTTACTTACATACTTTATCTTGCTTACATACTTGATCTTGCTTACATACTTTATCTTGCTTACATACTTTATCTTACTTACATACTTTATCTTACTTACATACTTTATCTCGCATTCAGCGACGCTGTGAGATGACCAGTTTGTTTTCTTTTTTCTTCAGATGTGAAAATCGTTTTCCTGAAGATTAACATCGAGCACGAGGAGGAATGCGATGAAGAGACGGAAGATGGTGTTTTTTCTATTTTGCACATGTTTCGAGGATACAGTGCATTGATCAAATCTGCCCATCACAAAGTTACTTACCAAAATTACTTAGAGGAAATCAGATGACAATGATGCGATCGTGCATTCGTTTTTTGATTTGATTGATGGCGACAAAGAAATTCATCAGAGGAACTTTTCAAAATGGCATTGAGAGCAGCAGCAGAGCCAGCGACATGAAATGGTTTCATGTTACATCTGGTAGCTTCCATGAGCTACGGCAGACTGACCTGTTCAGCTAGGCTCAGGAAGCTCGTCGTCACAGCGAGAAGTCTTCAGCTGAATTAAAGCATTTTCTAGTTACCTTTCTCTCGTTTTGTTTTATAATTTACTATTCCTTTTTTTTACTGCACAAGGCTTTACACACAAACACACACAAGAGATGTGTGTTTGTGTGCATGGTCACCGTAGCAACCCCATATACAGCTCAGTCATCATGCCAAAGACTCACCTGCACCCATGAGAACACGGCTCCCAAATTCTTCACTGAGCTTCCTGAAGCTGTGCTTGTCTTCATCAGTGTGTGTGTGTGTGTGTGTGTGCGTGCGTGCGTGCGTGCGTGCGTGCGTGTGTGTGTGTGTGTGTGACATCTGATCGATGGTAAGAAAACAGTACATGAATCACACCTGGGATGAATCTGAGGTTCCCTACAGCTCCTGTTTGTGTAAACACACAACCGAACAAACGAAGCTACAATGAAACTCCATCAGACGGTGACTCCGCGCGCCTCCGACGGCTGAACCAAACTGATGGAGCGAGCTGTTTTTTGGAGTTTTTGTTGTTGTTGTTGTTTTTTTTTCTGATCTGAGGATTAACAAATTTAAAGGAAGCAGAATTGGTAGCCTGGCCTATCTAGACAGTTAGCTTTACTTTGTGCTCACAGCAAATGACAGGAGGGACTTGGACCGTAAAAAAAAGAAAAGAGAACAAGATGGATTTCAGACTGAACACTTCTTTTTCCACGCGGCTGTTTTTGGTTTGACTCTGTGTTGACAACAAGGTTGGTAACTGAAGCCCTGACAGCTACAGCATGTCGGTTTCTCATTCTGCTCTGTGCTGTAAAATACAATGACACAAACCTGTTTGCTTTTAAAAAAATAATAAAAACGTCTTTTTTTCTTTCAGTTACATTTCAATAGCCAATATCAGCAGTTATTATTATGTTATTCAGATGAATATTGATGTGTTAATTGTATTTTTGGGACAAATATTAAAATGTTACATATAGGGCTTTTAGTTTTTTATTTCTTTTTGTTTTCAGGCATTCATAATGGCTTAATTCTCCTTGATCCTATTTTGTAAACTATGATATGTAACTTTAACAATGAACAAAAAGTTTATTATTTAATAATAATGATAATAATAATGTATGTACTAGCGTTAGAATGTCGTAACCTGTACCTGGGGTCTTTTTTATAGATGTATATACAATGACAGGTTTCAGCCATTAAATGTGACCATTTCACAATGAATTTGCATCAACTGGCTTCATTCTCCTTTTTACCTTTTTTTGATATTTATTAGCAGATTTCATCAAGCTCACATCATCACCTTTTTATAATGTGAGTTGTGCATTCAAACCTGTTGAGGTTTTCTTGTTAGCACATGGAGTTGGTATTGTGATTTACACTGAAACATGTGCTTAAAGGTAGATTTTAACAATTTTATTTGATGTTCCACAGTTATTTATCAGCAGCAGCCGTGTCCAAATTCAGTCCTCGAGGGCGGCTACCCAGTATAAATTAGTTGTTTCCCTGCTTCAACACACCAGGTCGCCCAGCCCTGGCGAACCTTAATCATCAGTGGGTTGAAAGGGATACTGTGCAACTTTTTCATATTTTTACATTATTTTCTGGAGCCAGTATGTGTTCAAATGAGCCTTTACAGGGTTAATGAAAGGCCACTCAGCCCCTATCGCCCCCTGTAGCCTGAACATTTCACTGGCAGCGTATAATCTGAATATTGTTCAGTTAAAACAAACAGCAAGACATGTTTTAATATGCATGATTTTAGCAATCTGGCAAATCATAGGTATCGTTTCTGCCAAATAACTTCTTCCTGTTTCTAGAGACTCTGTGGGCCTTCTGCAGGTTGGGTACTTACTGTGGATAAACAACTGGTCATTTAGAACATCATTTAGATATAGCAAACATATCCCATGAATATAAGTGCTACCTCGAAGGTTGGAACCAAAAAATATCAGTTAGCTGATTATTGTGGTAAGGGACTGCACATTTACAAGCACAAATCTAAATTTAAGGACAGAACAAGAAGCAAAGCTCAAGGATTAATGGTGACCAAAATGTTTCAGTAATATTTTAAAGTGAGGGTCCCTTTGTCCTAACCTTAATGACACTTAATAGTTAACATTATCAGGAATGTTAACAATGAGATCAGCTGTTTATTAATACTTAATAGCACTAAGTAATGTTAATAAAGAGACCCTTACTGTAAAGTGTTACCTATATTTTTTTACCAATATTGTTTTTTGCATGTTTGTTACAAATGTCACAAATTGACTTCCCATTTTTCTTTGCCTTTTTCATTCAATCTTTGTTAATAAAACCACTAAAAATGTTCATATTTGGGACAAAAGATAAAGAAGAAATTTAAAGATCCACTTTTGCTTCAGATAGACTCATCTGCTCACATATGGAGGGAAGGAGAAATGAGACAAAATAATGAATAAAACAATGGCATGCTTAAAGGAAATCATCCAGATCTCAGGGGTGTGTCCAGAGAGTGGCCTGGGGACTGGGCACCCATGGTGCCCCCCACTGAGCTCCTCTTTAGTCCACAAACAGCTTGAGATGAAAACAAAACAGTACGTGGCAGAATGCACCTTTAACACTGGCTTCTGGCTCCAGGCAAACTGCCACAAAACTGGAAGACAAAAGAAAATGTTTGCTCATTTTTTAAATCAGAAATGAAATGTTAATTAGTCTTATTGAGTCAAAACATGCAGGCCAGTTTTCTAGAGAAGTCATTTTGTTGCAGAAATTCTGTTACAAAATATTTGGATGGGAAAAGAAGCTGTTCAAATGACTTGTTTCAGTCAAAATGACCAAAGGTTCATGATCCTTTGCTAAAGCTACAAGGAGCCACCGATGACTGAAGGACCACGTGTCTCCAGAACCATGCCTCAGGCCCCAGATCTAACATATCTACAGCTAATGTTTAAACATTTCACAAAGAAGCTTGCGATATGTATCCAGAGCTCTAAAATAAGAACATAAACTCACGTTTTACTTACAATTCAAATCACAGGTCGCTTGTTCCATTGTTTCAGAGTTGAAAGAAAACTCTTGTGTTCTAATAAAACTTTATTTTTCATCAAATTTACACAAAATTTATATAAAATGAGATTGTCTCATCTGCATTTAGCGAGAAGAAAATTATGTAGAATTTTCTAAATTATACCAAAATCACTGATGAAATAAATGAGCAAACGCAGTTCCTCAAAGCGATGTACCGCCCATGCATTCACACACATGAAAGAGCAGCGCTCTCACTGAGTGTGATGATTCTATCAGAGTTTCAATGGATTAAATCAGCTCAGCTCTCTAAAGTATCTCAGGCCTTTATTTATTTTTATTTATTTATTTATTTTGCATCAGAGTGTGAATAATATATTGTCTAAGTCATCATAAGCTCAAAAGAAGAAATTCTGATGCCTCTAAATAAGCTTTTAGCCTTTTTGGATGCATTAATTAGTAAAAACAAGTGAACGCTATTGTTAATATAGGGTCATAGGGTCATAAAGGTCATGAGTGAACATTAAATCAATAGTGCAACATATTATTTGATTGGGATGTAAGCCTTGGTGAGATTTTCCATGGTGAGGACCCCTTTTTTTTAAACAGAAACAATTATGTATAAAAAATTAAAATAACTTAAGCACTCTGTAACTACATCCTCACATGTTAAACTAGAAATAAGAGTGTGTTAGAGACATGGGTCGGTCAAACTTTCCTGATTCGACCTTTAGCTCTCTCACCCACTCTCCGTCTGTCCCTCTTGAGTCTGTCTCACCGTCTCCCTCGTCTTCCTCTCAAGCTCTCTTTCTGTCATTATGCTGACAAGTTCTGGCAGGCCGATTTGGAGGCCGAGGACAAATCAATACGCCATCTAACAGCTGTCAGACGGGGTCTTCTGTGTGTGTGTGTGTGTGTGTGTGTGTGTGTGTGTGTGTGTGTGTGTGTGTGTGTGTGTGTGTGTGTGTGTGTGTGTGTGTGAATCTGCTTGCGTGGCATTGCATTCATTACTCTTTCCTCCCTCCTCATACACACCGGTCAGCCATTTTCCTCTTTTTTCTTTTTTCATAATGAAAATGTCAATGAGAACTCAATTAATATTTACAATGACAATGAATTGAAAAAAGAGGGAGCAGAGGACACCGATTTCATTATCCTTGTCATCGTCAGTGCTGTGAATCTGGTTTCTCCTCATAGTTAAGAGCCAGCACTGTTGAGCTTACATTTAAACCTTTAAAGTCTTAATCAACCTGCAGCTGAGACGTCCACACCCCCTCCCAGGGTCTACGATCACATAGTGATCCACGTTAACCTCAAGTAAATGGGAGTGTGTGTGTGTGTGTGTGTGTGTGTGTGTGTGTGTGTGTGTGTGTGTGTGTGTGTGTGTGTGTGTGTGTGTGTGTGTGTGTGTGTGTATGTGTGTGTGTGCTCTCCAGAGCCTGCCAGGTCCAGCCGCCCTGCGCTGCTCTAATGACTGCTTTGACCTTTCTCTGAAAACGGGATGAATGGCATCATATCTGCCCCCCTCTGACCTCTGCGCCGGCTTCTGCCTCACACATTTTTAAATACTCAACTCTCTGCCTTTTTCGCCTTTGTGGGAGCCTCTCTGGATATTTTTAGATTATCTTAACAAACATTCCTTTGTGTAATTCTTCCATATGAGCAGGATTTCAGCCTTTTTTTCTGCCGCATCTTTCTTGCATCATGTTGCTCTCTGGACACAAACTTGTGCATCTGCATTTGGCAGCTCTGAGCTGTTTACTTTGCACAAAATCTGTGGTCTAACAAAGTGTATTTGTGCCAGCCGTATAAACAAGGAGCACTGTGAGGCAGATTTTCCAACATATTCTCATTTTTCATTAGTAAAACTTGTAATTCCAGCTTTAATTGTATTTATAACACAAGAAATGGAAAAGTTTTTTGCTTGTTTGAAACCATCCACCCTTTCATTCTCTTCTGCTTATCCGGAGTCGGGTCACAGGGGCAGCAGCCCAAGCAGAGAGGCCCAGACTTCCTTCTCCCCAGGGGGAATCCCACGGTGTTCCCTGGCCAGACAAGAGACGTAGTCCCTCCAGCGTGTCCTGGGTCTACCTTTATGTCTCCTTCCTGTTGGACACGCCCAGAAAACCTCACCAGGGAGGCGTCCAGGAGGCATCCTGACCAGATGCCCGAGCCACCTCAACTGGCTCCTCTCGATGTGGAGGAGCAGCGGATCTACCGTAATTTCCAGACTATAGAGCGCACCTCAATATAAGCCGCACCGGGCTAAAAGCCGCAGATATCTACTGAATTGAAAACGTAGTTTAACTGAACGTAACTGAACTGATCAGTTACAAACAAAACAGAAAAGTTATTGATTAGTTTATTCATCGTCCTCCTGCGCACTGAAACCACTAAAGTCATCTTCTTCAGTGTCGGAGTTGAACAGCCTCAGAAGAGCTTCGTCACATACCTTTTCTGTGGTGATGTCAGTGTCGCTCTCCGTGTTGCTGTCATCATCCCGGGGTGAAGCTGGGAAAACACGCAGCGCCGTTTTACTGTGAAATATATCCTCCTGGGTGCTTTCTGTAGCACTCCTTTAACCATTCCTTCATTAGACTTTCCAGCATCCATCCTTTCTGGTTGACTAAAGCCGCACCTCATTATAAGCCACATGGTTCAAAGTGTGGGAAAAAGTAGCAGCTTATAGTCCGGAAAATACGGTAATCTGACCCTGGTTGACCAAGCTTCTCTCCCCATCTCTAAGGGAGAGTCTAGCCACCCTGCGGAGAGAACTCATTACAGCCGCTTGTATCCCGATCTTGTTCTTTAGGTCACTGCCCAAAGCTCATGACCAAAGGTGAGGGTAGGAACGTGGATCGACCAGTAAATCGAGAGCTTTGCCTTCTGGCTCAGCTCTTTCTTTTCACCATGACAGACCGGTACAACGTCCGCATCACTGCAGATGCAACACCAATCTGCCCATCAATCTCACCCTCCAGCTCTCCCTCACTCGTGAACAAGACCCCGAGATACTTAAACTCCTCCACTTGGGTTAGGACCTCATCCCTGACCCGGAGAAGGTGTTCTTCCCTTTTCGGACTCAGGACTTTGGTCTGTTTGTAACATTTAACTTAACTGCTTTTCACTCATGTTTGGTAAGATATTAAACATTTCACTTTAAACTGATCCAGCACCATTAAGCAACTTTCTTAAAACTTTGAAATAAAAATCAAGAATAATTGGACATTTCAGATTCAAATATACTATATTATAACAGTAAGATATTAAAAAATAAAGATTAAATTAAAGTCTATATACAATTCAACTCAAATATAGCAAAACAAAAAATATTGGGAAAAATATGGAACAATTCCATAAATGTTGCTTTCTTTTGAAGAATAAATAAAGAGATCAGCTGTTGGGTTGACACAGGATAGGAACTCGCCGTGCTTAGACTGTTATTGTTTAAAACAGAAGTCATAACTGGAGTGTTTTGTTCAAATCATTTCCAGAATAAACCCAAATTCTTGCAGTAATTGTTGTTGTGGCCACTAGTGGGCAGCAGATTCCTCTGCCAGCACGTGCTCTGTCTGTGGTGCTGAAACACAGTTAGACGTCTGCACCTCTGTCCGTGGTTCCAAATGGTCTTTTTATGATTAAAGTATGTAAGAGTTATGCTGCCTTTCATTGTGGAACAGGGTAAAGTGAAGCATGTTACTGGTGAGTCCAAATGAAAATATCTCAGACAAAAATAAAACTCAAATATGATTTTCTGTATTTTCTGGCCGCATACTAGGATTATCAAGAAAAGGGAAGCAAATTAGGATCCTAGGATTTATTTTTAATTAGGGAAGTTTGTGGGAGACATACCAACAGAGCCAAGACTATGTCCATATTAATATTTTAGGTTAATTTTTAGTCATCCGCTCTGTAGTTGGAGGGGGACTTCATGGTATTTTTGAAGTAAAATACAGAAATACTAATTTGTTGTCATGATCTTCAACTGGAAACAGTTGGAGCATTCCTTCTGGGTTGGGAGTAAATCTCTGTTCTAAGAGGAGGGATTCAAGTATCTGGGTATTTGTCCACAAATGGACTCATGGTTTATGACCTGGTCTGCAGTGAGGACGCTGCGTTGGTCTATTGTGGTAAAAAAAAGGCTTGATTTACTAGTGCGTTTAATCCCTCACATGGCCATGAGGTTTGGATTATGGTAGTAAGAACATTATCCTGGTTCCAAGAGGCTGAAATGAGGATCCTCCATAGGGTGGTCAGGCTCAGCGTTAGAGAAAAGAGGAGGCGTGCCATTCTTTAGGGATGATGGGGGTCATCTGGGACAGACTGAATTCAGGATTTTGATACCAACACGGTGTAGATTAGGACGTTCCTTCTGTTTCTTCCTCTCAGGGTGGGGTGGGGGTGGGTTGTTGGGGTTTGGGAGTTGCTGGGTGCTTGATTCTCCGGCGTGGAGTCAAGGAGAGGTGAGCAAGGGCTGTCAGCAATCATCAAGCAAGCCAATTCACCGCCCAGACCATCAGTAAACGCCCAGGTGATGGTCAGTCTGCAACTGGGAGCCATTTAGTTACTCATGAGGCCACATGATATAAATTTTACAATAATGGTGTCAAATAGTGAAAGTATGACTCAAAATGCACATTTTTTTATTTCTTTACAACTTGATTCCTTTTTGCGTGTTACTCTTAAATCATGTCTCACTCAGATGACAACACTTGCTGGCATCTGCATGTATGAAATATTCCTTTGTGGGTACCATTAACCAGAAGGTCATTTATGCTAAATTCAGACTTAATATGCACATTATGCAAGCTGGACAAGTCACATGACACCTGTGTCAGTCCAGACAGGATCAGGTGAACAGGGCCTTTAAATGATTGAGCTGCTGCACGCTGTTGCTTCCCTTTCTCGTGCGAATATGTAAGAAGTAATCAGCACATGTGGCTGGTAATGACTGTTAGGAGTCAGAAAGAACTCCAATACTAAAGAAGATTGAATATGAAATCCTACAATGATGTAGTGAAGAGAACTCAGCGTGTTAGAAGACATTTCATTAAAAGTGATTTAACGTGTTTTAGAGATATGCCTTTTAAATTGGATTTTATTTTAAAAAAAGTGAAATTATACTTTATTGTGTGACATGTTCAAGTATTTGAATGGACACACCTATTTAAAAACTTTACACTCAGCAGGTTTTTCTAAGGGGAGCTAATATTATCTGTCACTCAGAGATAAGTGCTGGACTTTTCCTGCATGTGGCATTAAGATGGAACTACCCTCATAACCAAACTACAGACCCAGGTCCTTTATAGGCAGTTTAGCAGCTTTTGTCTGCTTTCCTATTGTATGCATTATTGTATTATTGTATGCTTTTCTGTTTTTATTATAAATTACTTTAAATTAAAGCTCTGTCACTGTAAGGGCTTAGTGGAAAAAAATATACTTTATTATGTGGTCTCTTTCTCCCTCTTGTGGTAAAAGAAGAAGAAGAAGAAGAAGAAGAAGAAGAAGAAGAAGAAGAAGAAGAAGAAGAAGAAGAAGAAGAAGAAGAAGAAGAAGAAGAAGAAGAAGACGAAGAAGAAGAAGAAGAAGAAGAAGAAGAAGAAGAAGAAGAAGAAGCAGACACACACAGCCCCATTTGGAAATTGATGGCTCATTGGCTAGGAGTTTGCCCTGCAATTGGTGGGTTGCAGGTTTGAACTTGGGCTCTGTCTGTATCAGTTGTGTCCTTGGGCAAGGCACACCCACCTTACCTGGTGCTGGTGGTGGTCAGAGGGATTGGTGGTGCCCGTAAGCCTCGCTTCTGTCAGTATGCTCCAGGGCAGCTGTGACTACATTGTAGTTCAGCACCATCAGTGTGTGAATGGTTGAACGACTGTCTGCTGTGTAAAGCACTTTGGAGTTCTCTGGCCTATAAAAGTGTTTTACAAATGCAAGCCCTTTACATGACCATCAAAGAACATGATCCATTTTTACTCCAAGATGAAACATTGAGAACAGTAAGTGCATCAAAGTCAACAAATGGGACAGCATGCCTGAAGGCAGGAACAATAAAGGTACTTCCATTTTATGTTCATTAATGTGCAAAGTGTTATGCTCCATCCATGTTTTAACTTTAAGCCAGACCATCAAGAAGAGTTCCAGTAGACCAATTTATCTACTTATCAAAGCTGGCAGAAATTAAGGTAGTAGTGGCCCCAAAGTAGAGCCCTCTGGGATGCCATATGGCAAACTTTCTGCAGTGGATGTATGCAAGCAGCAGCACACAAACTTACTTACTTAAATGTATTATTTTTAATAGACTGAATAAAACCGTAAATTACCAATGTGTAGTAACTGAACAGCTACACTTGGATAAGCCATTATCTGTGGGCACTGTCCTTTATTTATATATTCATTTTTTTATCTACTGAATAAAGAGATTACCATTAAAGCAAACCAGCCCTCTAAGCATTATAATTACCTATATAACAGCAGTAGCTCAGGTGGTAGAGCGGGTTGCCTCATGATCGGAGGGTCATGGGTTTGATTCCAGCTCCCGCCAGGGGTATCCTGCCATTGTGCCCTTGGGCAAGACATTTCACCCAACTTGCCTGTGTTAGTGGTGGTCAGAGGGGCCGACGGCGCCAAATGGCAGCCTCGCCTCTGTCAGACCTCCCCAAGGCGGCTGCGGCTACAAGTAGCTTACCATCACTAGCAGTGTGTGAATGTGAGAGTGTGTGAAAGCGTCTTCAGGTGTCTTGAAAAGCTCTATATAAGTTCACTGCATTATTATTATTATTATTATTGTTATTATTATTATTATTATTATTATTATTATTATTATTATAACACCCCGACTATTACTATACTATTTGTCATTAAAGCCTTGCAGTCCCTCTAGATTCATACTTCTGTCAGGGCTCATGGGAAATGAGCCCTGAGCTTCTAAAACTCCCTCCTTTTCATTTCTCTGTCGTGTAATTTGATCTAATGTTATTCCATTCCAAACCGTTTATTCCATCCATGACCGGTAGGTGGCAGTATCACGCCGCCTGACGGCGCTGCCGCCGAGCTGAGCAGGAGAATAGGAGAAGAAGACTGTGGGAACCCCCAGTTGGAGGATCATCGTTGAAGAGCCATGGGGTGAGTAGCGTGACATCCTTCTACCACCTTTTCTCGTTTTATTAAACATCTTTTTAGGCAGCGTTCATGCTTGAACCCATATCTGAATAACAGCCGAATCGCGTGATGCGGTGTAACAGTTCGTAGCGTCTGTAAGGTTAATGGTGACAGTCTCTTTCCGCCTACACAAAGCAACACCTCGGTTGTTGCTGCTGGACGTTCTCCATCACGTCCACCATTCATCAGGGACGCAGCTCGATGGAATTAGCCTCATTTAGCCTTTTAGCTTATTTCAGCTTCGCCTTTCAAAGTAAGACCCAATATCAGACACACCGATAACGTTAGCCTTTGTAGGTGAGGGGGCTATAAATAAGAGCTAATTAAATTTTCAGACCTGCTGCTGTTACATGAACGACTGAGTCTGTCCCACATTTCACTGTTGGATGACACAAACAGACCACTTTCTTTATTTCCTCCTGGTTCAATATAAAGTCTCAGTTGTGTCAAGCCAAGTGATGTTTTATTTTCGCTATAGACTGATATTCCGTTAATTTGGCAGCCAGAACTTCTGTAATTTGTCTGTTTGAGCATCATACTAATAAAAATGGGCCCACCCATAGTGGTAAATCTCCACCAGCTCGTATGTTTAGGATACCACATCCTTAAATAAACTACGTTCAGGTGTTCTTAGTAGAAATAGACCAATATTGGTTTTCCATTGCTGATACCAGTGCAGAGGTCATGGTCAGTAATTGGCCGATTTTCACACCTAACATCTAGATATGTTCTGCCTTATTTACATAATAACATGTCGGAATTAACAACAGTAATGGTCATTGACAGATGACATATGGGGTGCTGAAGCGTTGCATGATGGGGTAGCTGAGTGTATAAACAACAGAAGCATTGGTCGATGTGTGTGTGTGTGTGTGTGTGTGTGTGTGTGTGTGTGTGTGTGTGTGTGTGTGTGTGTGTGTGTGTGTGTGTGTGTGTGTGTGTGTGTGTGTGTGTTGTGAGCTTATAAACCTGCAGAAAACGGTACACTTGGGCTGTGTGGAGGGCTGCCATGCCAGGGCACACGATTACAAGATGCAAAAACTCGATAATGACGTAAGATGTTTTCTTGCTTAGAAAAGAGGTTTTGGACAGAAACTAGGAGAACTAACAAACAGATGCCAGGGTCGCAGCTGTCGGAAGGAAGGACATTGAAAACTGTTGTTATCTGTAAGCAATCTTACTTGGTGTCTGTTTTTAAGCTACTGTATGTAAAGTTGCCATCTCCCAAACATGGAGGGCAATTGAATGCAAAGGTGTCTAGTGATTTACTTTAAAAGCATTTATTCTGCTTATAATTTATGTTATGTTATTCTTTTGTTTAATTTCTTCTTTTTTTGTCAAAAAAATTGTCCACGACTTTATACGTTTTTGTTGGAGAGATCGCATTATTTTAAAACTGTTATGTTACAATACTCGGTACTCTAGTACAGAGCTCCGGTGTTTTCTGTCTGAAGAGCTTTTTAACTCCCACATAAACACTTGTTCCTTCTCTCATTCCCTTCCTTCCTGATTTCTTTCTAGTTCATCAGAGTCTTGCTGACTTTCTCTGGTGATTGGCTCCTTAAGCCATCTCAACATGCAAGGATTCTACTCCAAACTGGACTCCTCCTCATCCTCGTCGCCCCTGTTGGGGATGGGCGTTGGGGGGGAAGGCGCCCGTGTTCCTCTCAGCCTGGCCGTGGAGGCTGAGAAAGCTCAGGCCCTCCTGCAGACGTTCAGCTCAGCCTCCTTGTTGGCGTCGGCGGGACTCGGGATGTTCTGTGTGGTGGCGGACCACGTCCTCCAGCTGTCCGCCGTCCAGCACCACCTGTGGCTGCGTGCCGCTTTAGACAATGCTACGCATGGGTTGGTGGGGCTGTGGTCGTGGGCGGTTGTGATTGGACTGAGGAAAAGGAGTGATTTATATGAAGTGCTGCTGGCTGGACTTCTGGCATCACTCATAGACCTTGACCACTTCTACATGGCTGGATCACTCTCACTTAAGGTCAGGCTGGAAGATTTTCCCTCTCATGTCACAAGAAAGCTTATTTTCAAAGGTGCACCTGTTGATTTCTGTTAATCCCAAATATTTATGTGTCCCTTGTTTGTCCAGGCTGCTGTCTCACTGCCTCAGCGTCCCCCCCTCCACTGTTCCTCTCTTATCCCCGTCATCTGCCTCACCCTTCGCTTCCTTATGTGGATGGGCCGCCTCAAAGACGCCTGGTGCTCCTTGCCGTGGATGCTTTTCATTTCCATGACAACGCATCACATCCGGGACGCCGTGCGCCACGGCTTGTGGCTATGCCCATTTGGCAACACAGCGCCCATTCCCTACTGGCTGTATGTGAGCACCACGACCACGCTTCCTCATCTGTGCTCGGTGCTCATGTACTTGACAGGAACCAGGGATGTCATCTCCACTAAACACGGAGTAGCGATCGATGTTTAGACGACACCAACTCACACAGGATGTTCAATGTGGGATTAAAAACCTTTAAATACTTGAAATGATCAAAAAGAAAGGGGGGGGGGGGGTATTTGGGTGGAAAAAAGTAACTAAAGTACAGCAAATATTTACAGTGTAATGGAAAACATGGCCTTGGTGACGTGTGAAGGAAGGGAACACTCCAAAAGGAGTGCTAATCGTGTATTTGGATGAAATGTCTGTTTGTGGGTGTTTGTGCACTGCTGCTAACGTTGGAGTGGTAGTGTCTCTGAATCCTTAAGCGGAGGTCTTGTTTCTGCTTCTTTCTAGTTGCGAAAAATGCCAGCTTCATGTGAGTAATCCTTTACAGGAGATTAAGGTTTCCTCATCCCACAAACACTCAAGGAAAAGCCAACCAAAGGTCGACCACAGGCTGTATAGATCCGACACACACACTGTCCCCTCTTCTCCTGCTTCACTGTGTCTGTCCGTGTGGCATCAGTGGAGCATTTTTCAGTGAAATTCACACAACTTCATAATCACCCCAGGACACTTGAGCAGACTCTTATCGTGCTGCAGCCTTACTGTCTAATAAGTACCAAGTTCTCCTAATGAAGCCATTCTCTTTGCTTATCAGAGTCCTCGTTGCCAACTGCGTCAGACGCTAGTGTTTCTCGCTTGCTTGTGAAATTTCAACGTGCGGTGGTGTTGGAAGAGGCTTGAGGTGTGTATGAGCAGATGGTTTCTATGAGTAACCTCGTGTTCAGAGCAGAAGATGAAGTATGTCAGGTACTTTATTTTTGCTTTAGCTGATGTTTTGTAAGTGGTTTCTTAAACAGTAAGAATATCTTTGCATCTCATTTTTTTTTCTGTGGAAGTAACTTCTATAAATAGCTGTATATAGTTCCAGTCATTGTTATTCCATTTTCCCCACTGACATGTTCAGATTGGGTTTTTCTGTAATAGAAACAGAATTTCAAGGATTTGTCTCGTAGAAGTCCGTTAGATCCACAGACCCTATGATACACTACATTTAGAAGTAGAGTGATAGATGTAGGCAAACACCGTCCTGACGACACTTCTAATAATCACTTTATTATCATGTGATGGAATTTAAAAATGTGGTGTTTGAATGTAAAGAACATGATGTTTAGCTAAAAGGGTTGATACGTTTCTGGTGTGTTAACTAGACAAGTTCTGGTCAGAATTGCCACCACTTGCTGTAGTTTCCTTGTCATCCACTAGACGGCAGCTAGAGTTCACTTTTATTTATTTAGATTTAATCAGACAAAAGGCATTTGCACAGTTTTTAGAAATTTCCTACACCCCCCCCCCAAAATATTAAAATCATTTCCTTTTTCTTATACATGCATTTGTATGATCTCCCTTGTATCTGTACAAAGACACAAAGATTTGTGTAACACTGGAATTTTTGCTAAGACGCTCTTTTAAGACAGACATCAAAAACAGAGTGAAGCTTTAGTCACAATTACAACTTTCCACCTGCTGGAGTCGTTTGTCCTGGTGGTTGGGACCTTTGTGACACATCATCCTAATTTCAGTCACTTCCAGTGAAAATCTCTTAACTGTGGAGTTAATTTATTTTGTGATCCTTATTATTGCAATATTATGTAGACTTTTGCACTTTTGAGTTTTTAATATATGAAATAGTTTTTTGTTAAAGATGACTTGTTTTCAGTAATGAGACGTACACATAGAGTTATAATGTAGTGTTTGATCTCAATAAACATATCCTGTATAAATACCCTGTCTGTTCATTAGAACTGACTGCAGATGTGTGCATTAACTGGTAGTCTCTTTAGACTTCCCACTCTGGTTCTGATATTTAAGAGAGACATTGCTGGTGGTGGTCAGAGGAACCAGTGGCAGCCTCGCCTGTCGGTGTGCACGAAGGCAGCTGCGGCTGCAGTGTATCTCATCACCATCAGGATGTGAATGTAGTGTAAAGCACTTTGGATTCATCTTACTCAGAAAAGTGCTTTACAAGTGCAGGTTATGCTCACTTTATTTGCCAGATGCTCCAGCCAGTGAGAGGTACGTCGTTTAATGAGCAGTGTGTGATGAATCACATAGAAACCATTAGGGTATCAGAATGGTTAAAATTCATGTCCAGCCTCAAATATACTCGCATCTCAGTGGATCTATTTGTGGAGTTGTATTTATAATTTTCATAAAGAGCTTGTGTTTATTTTTAAAATGCAATGACTAGAAAGTACAGAAAGATGGTTGAAAATGTTAGTTAAAAGCTAGGCAATTACTCCAGGGTAGTTTCTACTTAAGTAAGGTTATAAAGTACGTGTGTGTGTGTGTGTGTGTGTGTGTGTGTGCGTGCATGCATACTTCGGCAGCAGTGAAATGCATAATTGAAGTACTTGTGTTTTCTCTTAATTTAAATAAACTTACAGTATTTATATATGGCCAATTCATAACAAGAGTCGTTTCAAGGCAACTTACAGAGTAAACGTATCAATTGAACCTACTTATCAGTGCATTAAGTTCAGTTCATTATTCCAGCTAGTTAAACGTTTACTACCTATGGAATTCCAGCTAAATGCATCGAGTCACTCATGTGTCGGTGACAGTTTTTTATAAACCCCTCATGTGAACTGATGTCATATTGGAGCCATGACAATCTCACTGTTCCCAGTCTGCAGGAGGAATGGCTGGGATCTTTAACTGGGCTGTTGCAAGCCCACCTGGCAAACAGACCTGATGGAAAAATAAACACTACTTAGCATGCAACTGATTTGACATATGGTGTCAGTTTTGACTGGCGGCGGCACGTGGTTTGACATATGGTCTCTCCAAGAAGTTGTGATGTTGATGGAGCATCAGTTGATGCTAACTCAACCATGCCTACTTTACCTAAAATTGCTGTTTTTTAACCAATCGTCCCAAATTTGAAACCAAATCTGACCCATCATCTTAGCCACAAGACAGGTTTTACTTTGTTTTAAGGTTTCAGGTTTGTGTGAACATGTATGCATGTCAACTTTGTGTACTGATAAAACGACAGGAGCTCTGCTGATTGAAGGGAGTTGATCTGTCACATCAACTAATAACTATTATAAATGGAATAATTATGTTATGAAAACTAGGTCATTCGTTATGACATATTGATGTCTGGTATTATCCTATTAATGAGGCTGGGTTTAAACATCAGATCCACAAGACATAGTGAATTTATCATTTTCTTTTTTCGTTAAACTTCAGATTTTGTGGTTATTTTACAATTATACCAGTTCATATTTTAAGTTTAGATTGTATAAACAATGTACATATTCTATCTTTTCTTTTAGTTCTCTAGTTAATTCATCTGTGAAATTATTTTAGACCTACATTTTGTGTTTTAAAATATCTGGTCATTCTTAGGTTAAGATCGTTCAATTTTACTGAAACATTACGGAGTTGTTCCCAGACATCAAAACGTAACAGCTGACTGGTCCAATGTCAGACACCTGAGAGGTTCAAGATAAACGTTTTAAATAGAAGCTCACTGTTGAAATCCTGCATGTTTGTTTTTACACAACAATCACTACCGTTTTTCATTGATTTTTGTCATATGGTAGAAAATCTATTGCTGCTCTAATCTCTCTAAACTGATGCCCTCCAATCAGCAATCTACCACAGAAATTAGCTGTTGATAATCTTTCCTTTTAAAAGGTCTGAAGTATCCGTTTAAGGTCATCTAACAGTGCGGCACTTCTCTTAGGGGCACATGTAATGGGTCTCTGTTAAAGCTGTCGATGCTCTTTGGGCATATCCTGAATCCAGTAGGAAGGAAGTGGTTGGATTTTGACAGAGCCGCCCATTTTGAAAGTAAAACAATCCCTGAGAGATGGCTTTTGTTGCATGTTAGAGTTGGTGTTATACACCTGATGGGTACTCTGAAAAAATGGGTATAAGTGTTTGGTCTCACCTCTTGTGGGTGATGGCCACAAGAAAATATGCTTATCTAATGTTTAAGGAAGGCCAAAGTCTGTTTAAACTAAGGATGTGTGACAACAATAGATAAGACATTTATTTTCCCTCCCTTGTTTGTTTTTAAAGGTCATAAAAGGTGCTTTTGTCCTAGTTGTGGAACACTGGACCAAAACATTTACCAGGGTTCTGGACCAAAACATTTACCAGGGTTCTGGAGGAGTCATGTGAGTTTGCCCAACCAATCCAGGTGCATTTTGTGGATTTGCGAAAGCTTTTGATGGTGTCCCTTGGTGAGTCCTGTGGGGGCTCTTCAGGAGTATGGGGTAACAGGCCCAGAGCTTGGTCCACATTGCCAGTAGTAGTTCAGACTCATTCCCAGCGAGGGTTGGACTCCGCCAAGAATACCCTTTATGGACAGGATTTAGGTGAAGCCAACGTGTTGAGGGGATCCTTTTTGATGGCCTAAGGTTCTCTGCTTTTTGATGATTGCTGGAGGGGTTCACAGCCGAGGAGCCGCACCTGAGCAGCTGGGTTGGGAATCAGCTCCTCCACATCCAAGACCATGGTCTTGAGACAGAAAAGGGTAAAATACCGTCTCCGGGTCAGGGACGAAGTCCTGCCTCAAGTGGAGGAATTTAAGGATCTCGAGGTCTTGTTTATGATTGAGGGGAACATGGAGCGCAAGATCCGACAGGCGGATAGGTGCTGCTTCTGCAGTGATGAGGGTGTTGTACCGGTGTGTCGTGGTGAAGAGAGCGGAGTCAGAAGGCAAAGCTCTTGATTTATCAGTTGATCTATGTTTCTACCCTCAACTATAGTCACAAGCTTTGGATAGTGACCGAATAGGAGATCACGGATACAAGCGGCCAAAATGAGTGTTCTCCGCAGAGTGTCAGGACTCTCTCTTAGAGATAGGGTGAGAAGCTCGGTCATCAGGGAGAGCCTGAGTAGATCTGATGCTCCTCCACATCATGAGGAGCCAGTTGAGGGGGCTCAGGCATCTGGTTAGGAGATCTAAAGCAAGACCCAGGACACGCTGGTGGAATTAGTTTTTCGTTTGGTCTGAAAACACCTTGGGATTCCCTCGGAAGAGTTGGCCCAAGTGGCTAGGGAAAGGAAAGTCTTGCCCTCTCGACTTAGGACTACTGCCCCCATGACCTGACCTAGGATAAGCAGGAAGAGGATGGATGGATACAGAGCAGATGGAACATTTCCAGAACAGTTTTACATAAAGTCAGTTATTAGTGAAAAATGTGATAAAATACTATTTATTTCACAGAAACATAATGGGACACAAGTAAGGAAACAGCTTATATTGTATTGTACACATAAAGCAATAAAAATAATTATGTACATCTGAGTGTATTTTGTCTGGTAAAACCCACAGGCTCCATGTGTTCTCATACACTGAGAGTGAGTGAAGTCTGTCCACAGAAACAAAGAAAATGCCTGTGGAGTGAAACAGAAATGTGCCAACGGGTGCACATGATAGAAAAAGAAAGAAGGTAAGTGAACCACAAACTGATCTGACAGCTCTAAGTCAGTGTCTAAAATAGACTTTACTGTCGTTTTGCTGTCAAAATCAGCTGTAAAACTGACACGTTATTGTTTTTCATTTACAACTTTCAACCCTTTGATGCATGAATTATGAAATCTTCAACCATGATTTTTTTAGTAATTTTTTTCATTCGTCTTTAGGTGTGAATGAAACAAATTTCAACAAAAAAATTTTTGTAACATTTAATCATTTACAAATAATTTATTACATGTCCACCTCAGTGGACAGTGTGCATTCCGAACATGAAATATGTTGGCTTGACTTACCGAAAGTCCAAATGGAGGGGCTCAAATGCAATTAAGTCTTCAACAGCTGTGCCTAATAGCAAAAATAAATAAATAATAACAATTTTGAGTACCTGTCCACTGTAGTGACCATTATGCATCAAAGGGTTAAAGTTCTGCTGTTCAAAACAGCATTTTCAGAATAAAAACCTAATCCTTACTGTACAACTTACAGAGACTGGAAACATTTTAGAAAATGAATCTTGAAACCAAAACAGAGAACACATTGGGAGAGATAAAGGCAGAATGTGGCTGTGAAGACAAAATGAGCACTAGAGTGAAGTATGTTGGATAAAAAGTGAGCCCATTATTTATACAGCAACACAGTTTCATCTAACTGGGGGGAGACACAAATACACAACGTAGGAAGGCTCTAGACATGAATCATTCAGTCATTTATGCTAATTTCTTAAGATTTTGTCTTTTTCTAATCTAGACCTAACTTTTACTAATCATTGGACATATTTGCCACTAATTCAGGACTGCGTAAACCATGTCTGAATCCATCCCAATGAACACGTTTACAAATGCAACATTCATTATATAACATACATATATGTCATTTTAAAAGTGTGACAAACAGTAATAATATACACGTAAGCTTTGAGTAGATCCATGCAGAGTATGTGGAGCTAGCTTTGGAACACATACAGTGGTCAAACCAGAAGGCTCGACTTGGATGCACCTTGTGTTTCTGGAACCACGCGATCAGTCGACGACTCAACGTTGGTTTGGATTTGAATAGAACAAGAAAACGGTAGAAAGAAATATAATGCACAAGAGGTATTTAAGAAGGAAAGTGCTGGCCGCTAAACATTTATTATGAGTCTGTGGGTTTTTAGACACGTAAAAGCAACACCAATTTATTGTGTCAAATATTTCACTTAAGCTTTGAAATTTGACCACTTCCCTCCCAAAAAATGTAAAATATCGTCATCAAACCAAAACCGCTTCAAACAGTGTGGCATTAAAGACCACAGATGTGCAGTAAGTGTCAACGGACAACCACAACTGCAGCTCCTACTAATATTACCTTTCTTTAAGATTCACTTCCTGATTCCATTTTTGTTTGTGTTGAAGGAAACCAACACTAGCATCTCACAACGAGGCCGAACAAGAGCTGTGGGACCAACATTCCCCATAGATTAAAAGAAAATACATTTTCCTATCCGAGTCAAGCAGGTTAAGGCTTTAAAATCTCATTTTCCCTCACCTGCAGGTAACAGCTGTTATTGTGTAACTTGTTGTATTCGAAAATGGTAAAATCAGCACTTTACCTATTTAGTAACTGGACTATATAACCAACTGTTGTCTTTTCTTTTTATTAAAAAAATATATTTTGACATTAATATTCCTTAAGATTCAGGTACAACAGCTACAAAGATTTACCTTTTCAAACATTAAATTGTTGATTTATTTTAGTTTGAAGATAAAAAGTAAAAAATAAAAAAAATTGGCAGTGATTTTTTTTTTCAGTTGCACAGGGTTAAGCTCTCAAAGACACCAGGTTTTATTCTAAATGTATCTAAGAACACGTCTGAATATTTATAATGATACTTTTAAACAACAAAAGATGAAGAAGAAAACTACTTTTATATAGCGCCTCTAAAGATAAAAACCACAAGGCGCTACAAGAAGTATGTGAGGTGTTAATGCTGGTGATTTTTGAAAAGGCCAGTTTCCCTGCCTTTCTCTTCTCTAATTAAAACACCAACTGATGGACAGAAGGAGCTATAGTAAACAGAAAAAAGACTCCCTGTATTTACTGTGACAGGAAACCATTCATGCAACAAATGACCTCATGCAGCGGAAAATCAGTTATCCTAAATGAGATAAAGCCTTTACTACCCAGCATGCCGTCCTCCAGATCACCCTCTAGCTTCCCCCTCCCAGTCCTCAGTGGGGGCCATAATGCCCATCGTTTCAGCTTTGGCATCTAACACACACACACTCACCAACACACACACACACAAGAGGTTATGCTTCCTTCACAGCATTGAGTCAGTCAATGTAAGAATGTACACATTTCCTTACAAAGAAAGTGAGACGCTTTGGATGAATACGGGCAGCCGGGAGTGAACCCTGCGCTCTCCTGTTCGAAGCTGCATTCCTTGTCCTGATTTGCTGCTGAAAACGCACAAAGAGTCAATCCACCTGAAGCAGCACCATTAGTGAGTGAACCCAGATGTCAGGCTTCTCCTTCGGTCCTACAGAGACTAAACACAGCTGTAGGTAATGGAGGACAGTCTGGTTTCCTGCTTCTAGGAGTTTAGTAAGAGGACACCACAGCGCAGGCCCAGGGATGGCTTTTAGTCCTGAAGTCCAGGAGTTCTGTGGAGGGACGACTGATGCTGCAGCTGTGGACACGGACGGCCACCATGTCTGTTTGTTGGTGTTTACTCACTGCTGCAGCTGATAGGTGGGACTTCAAATCAACCTGAAAAAGGAAGGAGACCATGAAGAAGAGCAGAGAAAAGCAGCAGCAGCTGCAGAAAACAAACATCAATCATAATATAATACCGCCGCCTTGAAAGGACATATTTAAAAAGCAGAGCTGGATGAAAGATTTGCAGGCGTACTTACAGGGTTATAATCTGTGTGTGTGTGTGTGTGTGTGTGTGTTTGTGTGTGTGTGTGTGTGTGTGTTAGCCTTATAATCACAGGCTGGCTGACTATCTGAATGGTTATGACTAAGTTGTTTATAGATGCTCTTTGAACCAGTTTTGATCCCACTAAAGTAAAAGACTGCTCTTCTCACCGGCTCAGTGCCCGATGGGGACGACTGTTTTTGTCCTTAAAAGAAACGAGAACTTCATTGCATTTTTAACTAGCTTGCTATCCAAACCTACAAACACATCTGTCAAACAAACAAGTTTTGACGTCTGCGCCACATTTTCAGGTGCAATAAGAACAAATGTCAAAGAAAATTTGCTCCAAAGGCTGAGGTACCTTGAAAGTGAGCTTCTCCTTAGATTGGCACGGACTTCATCTTGACCATGGAGGCGAGTTCCTGTTTGGTGGCATGTTCACGCCGCCTGTGTTTCATCCTGGAGTTATTAAAGATGTGAAAAATCATTCACTTAGACAGAAAGCACAAAAATGTGTGTAGATTTGGCATAAAAGGCCTAAAACTAATGCGTCAATATCTGTGGGAAGGTGAAGCATATCTGAATCCTTGTTGAATTCAACACCAGAGACAAACAAAGTGGTGAAAAACAGCTTATCCTATAAACTCACATGGGCCCTTCTAGCCAATGGTGCCTATTCTTTAGCAGTTCTTTTAAAAACAAGCATCTGTCCTGTCTCAAGAGTTGAAAAGCAACTCAATTCTGGTAAAACAAATATTTAACGTCTGTGTGGTGAAATGCCAAAATTCTGCAGGAAGGAGGGAGGGCTCTGCAGGAGCTAACCCTAGCCCTCTGACAGAGGCAAAGTGAGCTGTGATCATCGACACGCATACGGCTGTGATGCATTTAGAAACACATGGAAAAAATATCAAAGTTATTATATGTAGATAACTGAAAATAAGCTGTTAAAATGTATACTCTATAGCTGCGATCTGGGCATTTAAGATACTGCCCAAGATACAACACTCTATATATCAGATATATTATTTACAAGACCCACTTGTGCGTGTGTACAGGCATGTGTGTGTGTGTGTGGGTGTGTGTGTCTTACCATACAACAAAGATGAGGGAAAGGAGGGTCATGAGGATGAAGATGGAGAACAAAATGAGGAGAACCAGAAGACAGAAATTATCGTCATCCTGTGCTACAGAATCTGAAGGAGAAAGGTAAAGACAAAAATATGTAATAACCCAAAAATAAATAAATAAAACAGCCATATGGAAGATCAAAACTTTATGTCTCTGCAGGAGAAACAAAAGAATAACTCATTTAAAAGTCTAAAAGCATAAGCAACAACAATACTGCCTGCTTAGAAGCTCTAATATAGCTTTTGCACAAAGTTTGTACACAAAAAATAAATAAATAACCTAGACTTTCACAGCCAACCCTCACACAGACTTCTGTTTCAGCAGAGAATGCTCTAACGAATTATATCACGTTTAACTCTCATTTATCTTCTAGAATAAACTATATGTGGGTGTGTGGTTTTTATTTTTTTAAACATGCACATGTGAGCTATCTCCTTCATCCTGGGCATAAATAGCTTGGTAGACAACATGACACCCCATCAGTGCCATTTACTGCAATTATAGGCAATTTAGTGATAAGCCTGAACATGAGGCGCATGCACGGCTCTAGATGCACCGCAATAACTGTAAATAACGCATTCTGACAATATTGCTGCATATAATGACTGATTAGGCATCTTGTTGCTGCCAAAATCCCATGTTGTAAAACATCCTGTAGTGTTTGTTTAGCTGTGAGGCTCACCGATCATAACAGGACTCCAAATCAGAATGGGATTTAGTCAGATCCAAGCACTCGCTTCTTTTCCATAAACCATTCATCGGTTAGAAAATCAAGTCAAACTTCAGCTAAATGTTTGGACAAATTCCATTTGTAATTTGGTCAAACCAAAAGGCAGCAGCATGTGGACAACTATAGATGTTTTCTATGTCCAGATCAACATGTGCAGCACTACGACTAGATAAAAACCAGTAGGACCTTACTTTGTGACTTAACGGTGGATGTTTCAGGTTTAGTGCTGAAAGGGTTAAAGACATCTGGAGATGTGGTGTCCTCTGGAAACTCTGTGGTAGTGCCAGCTGTAGAGCAGAAATATATATGAAGTTAGTCGGCAAAGGTTTGGAGTTTAGGCTTCAGAATAAATGGGACTAGATGTCTTTATCCATCGGGGGGTGTCCAAAGTGCGGCACTTTTGTATGTTTAACAAAAATGATGATTTATTAAGATCATTTCAGTACAAACTTTTTTGTTTAACTTTTATTTAAATTTTGATTAAATGTCACCGCCAATAGGACCACAAGGTGTGACTGACTTACTAATGACCAGATTTGTGAGCACCATTCATACAATCTAACTAAAGAAAGTGGCACAGATTATTAAACCGTATGTTTATTTTTGTCTGCGTGATTTACAAGATAAATAATCTCACTGCATTTGATGCGATGGAAGTCAAAAAAACTGAACTGAATTGAAAATCCTAAAAGAAATGTGATCATGGTCGAGTTTCACTAAACCTCAACTTTATGGCTGTTGGTAAAGTAAGCAGACTAATGATGATTTGTTTCTTCCCCTCACCTTCCCAAGGTCTGACCAGCCTCATGGCGGTCCAGTCACTCCACTGACTGTCCGAGTTCACGTCATCCTGGGCTCGAACCTGAACCTGGTGGATGTGGCCCGCCAGGGCGTCAGAGATCACAACCTCAACCTCCACCGTGAAAAGCTGTTTCAACCAGAGACAAACATGGCACTGAGCATGAACGTTTCAAGGGTCACAGAGGCATCTGTGTTGTTGTGTGAAGTCTTTGTGGAAGTTTAGCAACGTGATATTGAAAGTGTCTGTATTTAATACTTGTTGTTGTACGTTAGAACTTATTTTATCAGAGCAGAATGCTCCAAAAGCAGCACCATCAACTCATCTGTATGACAAGTGTCACAGAACGTGCTTGTTTTGCTAACCTCTGACCAGATACTAGAGCCATATGGTCTGTATCTGATGTGAAAGCGGAGGGGGAAAGCGTTTTCCTGTGGCCAGGAGGTGGGATACTTCCACGAGACTCTCAGCCTCATAGGAAAACCTTCTACCTTATTAGCAGAAACCGACGCTGGGGGATCCGGTTTCACTGTGAAGACAAAAAGTTAAAAACTGATTTATTCATGAGCGTACCCTTCTTGATTCTGTTAGGTAGACAGCTCGTTGCAAATAGAAATGAGTAAAACAAAGGCACTTGTTGCTCTGATGGATTATCAAGTGCAGTAACAGTTTCAACTCTTTCCTGCGAGTGAAACTTTAAGAAAAGACTTCCACAGTCAGCAATGCAGCAAGTTTCTGCATTTAAAACCAGACATTCACATGTGATCTTACAGAGCTTATCAAGCCTGAACTGGACAGATGTCGTCTGGGAGCCAAGTGCATTCGTCTCTGTGACTTTAAGGATGTGAATGGTCTGCCAGAAAGCAGGATGGTGCACATCACAGTGCCTGTGGGTCACATCTATAATGCATGGCTTCGACTCCTGAGTCTTCCCCCTAGAAAACAAAACCAGGCGTTGGTTTGTGTTCCAGGGCGTAGAAGCGAACGGAAAACTAGACAAAACAGTCAAAGCTGAGTGCTGATACGGTTATGCAGTAACTGGCTCTTACCTGAAGGAGGCGTTGAACGTGGCTGGCAGGAAGGTCTTCACAGACTCGCTCCAAGAGCAGCGGACATGTGTGTGGTTGGGCACTTGACAGGAAATGCTCAGTATCCCAGGGGGACCTGAAGCAGGAGTAAGAGTTTTATTTTAAAGAGGGAGTGTGTTTAAGTCATCCTCTCCGTGTTGTCCCTAAGCACAAAAGAATAGTCTCCGACCCTGATCATGAACCACAGTTTTCAGAGGAATTAAAGGCAGAACTCCCGATTCCTCTGAAGGAAGAACATTCAGGAGCCACTTCCTGTTTGAGACAGTAACAGGAAGCAGAGCGCTTTGTGAGGCTTGATAAGATCCATTTCCTCTGGAAAACAGTAGCCCTGTAACCCAATCATCACTTCTTAACATAAGGGCTTTTCCTATAAGCAGGAATTATTATCATGTTATGTTTATCATTATAAGAAGTTATGACTAGATAAATAAACTGTATTAATATTTAAGAGACTGCAACAGACAAGATATCTAATGAGAGGTTTAAAAATAAAGAAAATGGATTATTCTTGAAGCATTTTTCTGAAATGTAGTTTCACATTGATCGACCGCTTGAGGTAAACCTAAACGCGTCATGTGACTGACTTACGGCCTAGCCGGAGCCTGACAGAATGGAGGAGGAGCCCGCTGTCGTCATAGCAGCTGTAGTTGCCCTGCGCCGACTGGTCCGCATGCAGCAGAACTAAGCTTCCGTCTGACATCACCTGGTGCCACGGTAACACCGAGCTGTGGTTGTGAAGCCACATCACAGGGATCCTGGTCAGAGACACGGCAAACATCAGTCCATGGCTCACAAACTTTAGCGCCTTTGTCCCACAAAGGAAGACTCCAATCCTTGTGTTGATGGTTAATATCAATTAGCATAGCTAATACACTTTTTAAATTTCAGTTTGTTAGATCTTCTCTGACCGATGTTTGTGGGCATAATAACCAATTTCAGCTTAGCTTTCATGGTAGATGTGTAAATGTTAATAAAACAGAAAAACCTCTCTTCGTTTCCTACCTGATTTCTGATTTCCCACATGCCAGCGTCACGTTCGAGTCCAAACGTCCATACTGCACATCTGACAACAATAAAGCACATGTACGGTTAAAGAATCTGCATAACGAGCACGCTTACACACAGCATGGCTGTTTTGTGTGATTCGAGCTCCATCCTTTACAGCACAGTCAGCTGTGCTACAATAACATGACCATAGAAGGTTATGGATCCTGCAGACAGAAGCTGGGGAATCTTTGGCACGAATCCTGAAGCCGTTGAAATGTGTGTTTTCAAGTGTCCATTGACACTTTTGAGATATTAGTTTGTTTCAGGAAATCGGAGACCCTTTCAGTAACAGAGGGACACTTTTCTAAAACACGAAAGTTTAAACGGTAACAGAGTGCCAATAAAAACAGCAACACTGATAGAAAACACATCCTAGATACAACACAATCTATTGGTTATATGTTTTAATGAAACACTTCAGAGGGAGGAACACCAATTAGTAACATAAACACCAGCCAACACACAACATTTATATAAGTGCATGTTTCACTTGGCTTGGTAACATGAAGGCTGGCCTTCACTGCAGATCTCAAATAAAAAAACATGATTTGACTGCCGGTCTGCCACACAAACGGCTTCATTAACTCTGGACCACTGAGACATGTACGCTCTGCTGGTCTCTCCAACAGCAACCAACAGTTTACCCCAGGTTTGTGTTTTAATCTGTTTTCCACTCACTCAACGTTTTTAAAATCTCCATGAAGAACAGTGGAAATTCTGAAAGACATTAACTTCACATAACCTATTTTATGAGTAGTGGCTGTGTGCTTATATGGACTATTTCTCGTATTTCCTTTAATGACCTACCATGCTGATGCAAAATTAAATTCTACACCTCACTAATACAGAGGTGTTACTGGAAATCCAGCATGAATAGCTGGTTTTCACCCGATTTTGGTCTTTCAGCTGCATTAAGTGAAACAGCTGGAAGAAAAAGCTTCACTGTGACCTTGTGGTTGAACTGAAACCTACGGAGACTTTCTGAAGTTAAATAAGCACAGCAGAAGCCAGTTAATAAAGCTGTTGCTTGTGTCACGTTCCCAAATAACACCCCACCCCCATTTCAGGGAGTGGCCTAAAAGATGAGATGAGGAAATATGATAATAAACATGAAAGCAAACAAATCTGCTGCTCAAACACATGTTAGAGGAAGGGAAAACATGTGTAAGACTACTTCTACCAGTAGGTTAACTCAGATTTTTTTCTAGATAAGACTGTACCATATTTGAGAATAAACCACATAATACAGAGGTGGATGTGTAATGATCAGAGTTGTGCAATTTATTTATTTTTTGTTACAGTTTCAGCTTTGAATAATCACAAGAACAATACAACAGTCCCCCAAAATACACATTATAACATCATCACATCACATTTTTGATGCACTCTAAATGAGACCTGCTTCGTGTGTTGGGGTTTTTAAAAGGCCTGCCCAAATGAAGATTGTGGAATGAAGGCAAAACACAGTGGTGACATCATTACCAATTATCAAATCAAATCAAAGATACTTTATTAACCCCAGAGGGAAATTAATCTCCTCATAGAGACTACATGATGTGGTGTCCCATGATATCTTTTCATATGGTTACATATTCATTCATGAACAAGGAGAAATCACATTGTGAAACATTCACTACCTGCTCAGATCTCCAGGTAATTGCCCTTTTCTGCCTTAACATTATTGCTGCCTGTCTGTGTTTTGTTGATGTGACTGATCCATCAATTGTAGGGATGCTCCAATCCCATCCCGTGATAAGAAATAGGGCCAGATCATGTGATTTTCAAATAATCGAAATTGGGTGGAAAATATCGGATTTAACCTTATAGAAAACAAGCAGAACACTGCAACAGCCACTAGTGATGTGTTTTAAGCATTTAACGGATCTGCATTAAATATTATGTGATGATTATGAATGTGGTAATTCCTAGTCTGCTACCTTAAAGAGAAACTCTCAAATGGGAGCTCTATACTCCCAAAATGACTTAAGACAAGTTAGATGTGTTGTCCTCTCTTTATTTGAATGCATGGCTAGTATCAGATAGGAATTTGGCATTAACAGATACTCAAAATTAAACGACTCTGACTCTGATTGGGGGGAACAATACTTTTTTTTGACATATTACTCATCCTAAATGTATCACTCCACAGACACCACGCCTGTGTGGATTCTAGTTTGGAAAAGAACTTCATTTAATTTCATAATTCACTTTTTTTTTATTATTAAAAAGCAAACTCTTCTCTATATTTTCTATCAAGATGATTAATTATAACTTTCATCTCTTCTGTCCTTGTTGTTTTACTCTTGCATTCGTCTTTCCATCTAGCTCCGTCTTTTTGGTTCAAGAGCCTCACTCAACAGCTTTTCTTTTGTTCACTTCAACCACTGAAAATGCACACACTCCATCTTTTTTGCTCTTTTTTTTCCTGTCAAATCTGTGTGTGTACCTAGAGCCTTGGTGCACTGCATAGAGTTGGCTGGCTTGAATGTGTGTATTCATGTTTTATTGGCAGTGAAGTACATTATTACCCTAACCCGCAGCGTTCCACTCATATCAATCAGCCTCTGGCTAGAACATGTCCAGGTGCGCGCACACACACACACACACACACACACACACACACACACACACACACACACACACACACACACACACACACACACACACACACACACACACAAATATAACTATGTTCACAAACACACACACATGCACACATCTGCATGCACATAGGCGTACGTGCAGAAGGACTGCAGGTTCTTCTTGACATTAAAATCAGATGGTGAAGCAGACACAAAAACTGCAAGCTGGATGAAACTTAGTACTTTCCAAACAATAAAAAGCGAGCAGCAGAGCTGCTGAAGGACGGGATAAATGGGGAGGGGAAACTTTTGACAGCCTCATCTGAAAGTTATGGTGAAATTTATGTGATGAATGTTGATGAAAAATAAAAGAGCAAAATCAATAAAGGGAGAGAGAAAAAAATATCCACCATATGTTCGTAGACATCCAGCTAAAATGCAGAATCTGAAGCTCAAGCAAAACAAGCGGCCTAAGTAGCTGGTTCCAGTAAGTCCCACCCCTTCTAAGTAAAAACATTAAAAACACACTTTAGATTATTCACTGGTGTGGACTCCTGTTGATTCAAGTAGTTCTTACTTTGCTGCAACATAATATTCATTTTCTAATTCATTTAGTAATAACTAGTTATTTATGATTAACAAAAAGTCCTGATAGTGTGTGGGGGATACACGTACATTTATCACTAATGTCTTTGTGGAGTTACAATTTTGCAGAATCACAATTGTAATAATGAGTACTAACAAAAATATATTTATTCATGAAATTATAATGTGAATTACCTGCCTTTTCAAGTGAGTAACAGAAGCAGCAGCTGTATTTACCCTAAGTGTCTTTGAGCAAAAGTTTATTTGAAAAGAATTAGGGATGTTCCAATCATGTTTTTTATTTTATTTTAAGAATCTGCCGATATCCAGTTCCAATCCGATTCTTTAGAAACGCATTAAGAACAAATGAGAACACACTAGTTGTCCTTTAAGTTATTTTCTTTCTTTCTGTCATTTCTTTAGCTGTTTTGCCATAAAACTTCACTTGTTCAGAAAGTACATTAATAAGAAATGTGTTATTATTAATATATGTAAGAGTAAATTGTCATTTATCGTTCACATTAATAAGAAACATGTTAATATTAAGAATAAATGCAAAAGTCGCTCATATTTTGAACTTTTACTCAGCATGCGGCTGTTTTCAGCAACAGGGATGGCACGGCATGATGGTCAGCAGCAGAGTAACTTTTTTCTACAAAGCAACTGTAGAGCCGCTGCATCCGTAAATGTAGGAAGAGAGAGCAGATCGTACTGAAGGAGACTGCAGAACCCGACATTTACAACCACATACACTCATCCAGTGTGGTAAATATGCAGCCATCCTCACAGTTTTGCTGTCTGTAGACCATTTATTGGTTTCTTAATGTATTATTTTTTTGTGTCGGCTGGCTTAGCTGAAGTGCTGCAGTGAACTGAGCTGGGTCAGGTTTTTTAAGGTGGTGAATCAGTGTTGAATGCAGCACTACCTTCTCCACCTCGTTAAATGCCCAGTTTGCACACATTACATGTATTTATTACCCTCCCTTTGTTGCAAGTCATTTTCTCTCTCTTGATGTGACAAGTTGGCTCTGTTACCTAACTGCTACATGTGATGATGAATTAATTCCTGGACTACCTTAAATTGTGGGACTTACAGTGCTGTCTGTGAAATAAAGAATACTGATGTAGAGGAACTTGTATTTAAAAATAAGCAACTGTTTTCCCATTTGAAAATGTCTTTCTCAGGATGAATAAAAAAAAGTTATGTTTGCTGTTTTAAATCATTAAATCCAATTTTTCCCACCAATTTCCTGAAAATCACGTGATCGGACACGATATCCTATCACGTGATTAGATCAGGGCATCCAAGTCTGATCCTTAGCAGAACCTAACTTTATCTCAGTATTTGTACACATGAGTCAGGACCTTGATAAATGTTGTGTCACATACATCATCATAAAAATGTTGCTTTAAGTGTGGTGTGCAAATGCTGAGGGTTAGAGTGAGTTTGTTACCTTCATCAGTCCAAATCTGAGCACAACTCGGGCGCAATGACCAAGATAACATCCAGATGACTGTCAGACACACAGGACCGGACAAAAGGCCAGGCATCTAAAAAACAGAGGGACACAGTTGGAACAAAGGTTTATTCAGAGTTAGCATCACTACTAACTAGAACTATGGTCTGTTTTATACGTTTTACAAGATGCATTAAAATGTGTTGCAGTGAAAAACACATTTGTGACGTTGAAATGTTTCTCCTGCTGATTTACAGCCAACAGTAAACCTACAGCCTTTTGCTAAACTTTAAATATAGCATTTATATAAGCTTTTAGATGGTAGGAGATGTCCAAGGCCTAGGGAAAGCACATCAGACGTGCTCTGTAGGCAGACTAACAACATAAAGGCGTAAGAGCCCACTCATTTCATCTGAACCCAAACACGATCTACTTTCAGTGATAAACGTATTTGAAGTTTACAAAAAGCTAAATAGAGACAAATCCTCTGGACAGACTACAGTTTAAGGCTTGAATTTTATGAACTGTACATTTTTAATAATTGCTTGAAAATCTATGAATCAACCATCAGTATAAAACCTGAATTACTTCATCACCACCACCTCCATCTGCAGAGGAAGGTATTTGTCCACCATGTCAAAACCAAACTTGTTTTTAACAAAACAGAGTTCATGACATCTTCACTTCACTCCACAATCATCTGGATATACCTCAAATAAATTGTGAAGAGGAAATTAGTCGGTTCTGAGCTTATTTTTGGTTGACCAAGTCCTTTTCAAGTTTGGACAGAATCTGGACAGACAAGATAACTTGACAAGGACTATTAGTTAGGGCTGGGGGTAAACGATTATTTTTAAAACGATTATTCTGACGATTATTTTATCGAATAGTCGACTATTCTAATGACTATTTAGAAAATTAATCTAATGATTATTTTTCTATTGCACAATTAACAAAAACCAGAAAATCTCAAATAAATTCCTCAAAAAAATTGATAAATTCTTACTGTAAGAGAATAAACACTACAGGCCTTCCATTTTGTATAACACTGCGTTTATTGTGTTGGTTGGTTATGTTCTGGTGACGTGTAGAACTTGGGAGTGCAGGCTGCTGCCTGAGAGGTGGTAGAAGATGGAGTGTCTCCATGCTGCTTTGTTTTGGTCACTTATGTGCGTGAGGCGAGTGGTCTTACGGGTTAAACCAAACTCAGGTGATATTTTACACTAAACCGAAAACCCACAACACTCTAAATGTAATAAAAGGGAGATCTACACCACAAAAAAGATGAACTCTAAACCAAAACGTAACAGCTTATCCCAACGCAAGAAGCTGTTAGCGAAGATGCTAACAGTAGGTTTACCAACATTAAGTTCAAGTTACCAAGTTTAAATAAACCAAAAACACCCAGCAGCAAACAGACCAGCACGGAGGAGAGACTGCTACCACCAAAACAGCTCTCCTAATGTCTGAAAGAAGCTCCTTAATGAAGGGAGAAGCGCTCCCGGTGATTTTCTACATCTGCGATAGACACGAAGCAGCGCATCTGACCCCGGAAGTTGTTGTCCGTTGCCGGGAGACGAGGGCGGGCAAAACAGGAAAATAATCTAGTGGTGGACGGACGTTGTTCCGGGTCTTCGGTATTTGGCGGAGATGTTAGTGAAGGCGGAGAAGAGGGCGAACTAGAGGAAAAACAGGCAGATTTCTCTTCTATTTACAAACTCCTGGGGATGCAACAAGTGGGCGCGGTGCGTCGACTTCTGGATCTGACGTCGACAAATTTTTAGAATCGAGCCGTCGACTTCGTCGAGGCTTCGCTACAGCCCTACTATTAGTAGCGTAATGGTAAATCCTAGCTCAAACCTTTGTCATATTGTGAAATGGTTCATCTTTTGAATCTTGAAAACTATTTTATTTATGAGATGTAGCCAGATCATGCACAATTTGCTAGCACTATTACATTTGAGCTCAGTACCTTAAAAATAACTCACTTGTAGCCACTTTTGTATGTGTTAACATTAAGTAGCTGTGGAGGCCATCTTGCATTGGGATGACTCCAAAAAATAATCAATGTACGTCAAACAATCACTTTCTGAGTGTCTGTACAATTTGCCCATGGTTCATAAGATGCTTTTCTTACAGACACAGGCAAACACATTTTCAAACTCCTTTAGCAATTAGCTAAACAGCTGTGGGGGTTTTTAGCCAGTGGGATGAAGTTGGAACACAAGCACAAAATCCTCAAAAACACCAGGATAGCATGCAACCTTCAAAGAGGCAATAGCTGAGTTAAGCAGCCGGGCTAACGGGAAATGTCCCGGTGCTCTGTATTGCCAGTTCACCACTGCTGGCGTGTAGCAAAAGCTGCTTTCTTCATGCTCTATGATGCTTTGCTGGAGATCTAGGGTTACATTATGAAATGAGTGGAGGTGGGACAAGCACCTTATTTCTTAGTTGATAAAATGCTTCAAGAAAACAACATATTTCAGAAGAAATTACGTCTCCATAGTGCCAACGATGGCATTCTAGTGATATATGGGCCTATCCTTGCTCTGAAAGGTTTAAAACAGTATGATACGGTTCCTTTAAGGTTTATTCTTCGGTGATGAAAAATGTGTTGCATTTGTGTTTAGCCTTATTTTTATGTCCAATAACAGATTGAATAAATGCACATAAATGTATGCCCTTGTAGATTATTATTGCAAACGCAACCACCTCTGGTATTAGGATTAGTACCTACATAAAAATCCTTCCATTTCTATGCATATACATGGCTGCTCCCCTTTGGTGGAGGATCTATAGGTGGCAATAGAAAACTTCATTTATTTAGTACTGTTATGATATAAAACTACATAAAACACTATACTTGTTATAATAACATTGTTAGACGATAGTTATGTTTCAAAAGGATTTTTATGATTAATTGATACAACCTGCTCAAACTGCTGCCCTTATATTGTTGTCACATTACAGACAAGTTCATCTGCATCACCTTAAATTATAATGTTTACACCGATAATACAAACTTTAGATGTCTGCTTACTGACCCTTGGTATTGTGACTGAAGCTGTTCCTTCTGGTTCTTTGCATTTCGGACAAGCAGATCACCTGTTTGAACGCTAAGGCCAAGCGGTTTGTTTTGTTTGTTGGGAACCCTTCTTTTATTCGAAAAACAAACACTCAGAATCAAAAACCTTTTAAGGAGAAGAAAAAACACTTTACGTAAAATAATTTCAGAAACATGTCTGTTTATTTGCATAAACAAGCAGAAAAGTGAAGGAGCTCTGATCACTGGCATAAATCCTGTTCTGGAACAGCTTGTTAACATTTTGTTGAGACGTTAAGCTAACATGCAGGAGATGACGTTTATTTTTAAATAATAACAGACAGAATAACTACCACATGGCAGACACAAAAGAAAGCAGTTTAACCATTTTCACACAAAATGAGAATATCTTCTAATATTCAAATTTGATGACCTATCAGTATAACTTATGTTGTACATTGACTAAGAAATGGAAAATCACAGTGCATCACAAAAAGCCCACATGAAACTTTAGACAGCAGTTTTTCTCACCTCCCTTTCCAGTAATGCTTGTGCGTAAGCCAAAAAAGGACAATGCAGTTTAGACAAAGATACTTAAAGATACCCAACGATACCTTTTCCAGAAATGTTCTTGAAGTCTTTGTCGGGATCCAGAGACAAACACTATTTCTGCTGGTACCTTATGATGTAGCACACTGGTGTTGCATTTACCACTGTAACTTCACACGGCATACTCAGCAAATTTAAATCTCACTGCCATCTCCCTCGCTCGCATTCCCCCTTCTTGATCAATCATCCTTTTCATTTTGTTTTTCCTTCAGCCTCCCATTTCAGAACATTCCACGCCTGCAACCCAGTGGGAATGCTGGTGAACTCTGCTGTTTACATAACCAGGTACATACAGGTGCAGAGCCCTCATTTCTACACATGCTACTAAACTGAAGAAATTGTACTATTTAGATGAACCATTATACATCAGCATTCAGCAACAACATGATATCAAATGTTCCAATAAAAGTTGCCCGGCTGCTTATCTGTCCAAGTCATGGAACATCAGGAACAACTTTCCCTTATTCACAGTTTTGGCATTGCAGGAGGCTTTTTCACACATGGAAAACAGGTGTTAAGCTTCGAGACAGTGCAGGTGCAGGACATAAAACCCCAGTGGGATAGTTAATATTTGTTAAAATAAGCTGAAATATTAAGTAGTCTTGTGAGAAAAACTAAGCTTGAAGTTAAGCCAAGCCACTTACATAGCACTCGGTAAGATTCAACTGGTTTCTATTAGTTTTGTTAGTATGTTATGTAATATCAGGGTTATTTTTATTCTTGATCATCATATTAACAAGTTCAAGGTCTAGTGAAGAGGTGTATGTCACTGTTGAAAGTAGTTTAACAGAAATTAGAATATGCAGGCCATATCTTTTTACTTTGCTGCCCTTTTGCCTCGGTTCAGTGTAATTATCCCATTTGATCAGCTTCGGCTCGCTGGCTCTAACCCTTGCATTTTATCGGCCTCCCTGCCCTGGTTTTCCCACAATCCAATCCTTAGTAGTGCAAGGTTCAGTAAACAGATTCCAAAAAGGTTTCCAATTCTCCTTAAGTAAGCTCTGACACAATGCTTTTCCTTGTGAGGGAATTGTTCATTTCACCAGGAAGAAACGCATTCATAAGCAGCAGAACTGTAGTTTTTAACCACACTGAAAAACATCCCTTGCATCCTCTTTTCTAAACAACACAATATGGTATTGAGGTCAGGTTCATGGACTTGACAGAAAGTAAGTGAAAAGGCAGCCAAAGACCAAACTGAATGTTTAAAAGATCTTGAAGAAGCCTGGAGAGCTCAAGACCATCCTAAAAGATTCCAAGGAAGCCTGGCTGCTTAGAAGCATAAAGAAATAGAAGTATAAAGAAATGAGAGGCAGTTTAAAATTTGCATATGGCTAAGTATGGATTATTATAAAAAAGTTTCTAAATTTAGAAGCAAAACGGGAACTATTGGCTGTCGTCTGGAACTCGATTAAAGATAAGCACATTAAAGGTCAACTTTG